CAGCGGTGAAGGTGGTCTTGCAGGAGGTGATGAAGCTGGCAAGCGAGCTGGCATCGGTGTATCCAGAGGAGACAGCCTCGTTTCCGACCACGATCAGGCTAACCACCTCCCACTTGCCCCACTCGGTGATGGCGGTGACCTGGCTCTCGGCACCCGAGGTACCGGTGCTCGAGATGTAGATACCGAGGATCAGCTTGAGACCGAGCTCCTCAGCAAGCTCGCCAATGACCTCGAGGGTGTTGCAGTCCGTAGAGTAGAGACGGATGTGGGTGAAGCCCTTGGCGGCAATGGTCTTGATGTCCGAAGTCATGGTGGCAGTGGTCTTGCAACCGTTGTCGTTGGTGTAAGGGGTGTAGGTCATACCCATCAGGCCGGTAGCGCTGACACCAGTGGTGGCAGCGGCGCTGGAGGAGCTGGCAGCAGCGCTGGAGACAGTGCTGGCCTTGACACTGGAGGTAGCGGGGACGGCAGTGGTGGCAGGGACGACGGTGGTGGTAGCAGCAGCAGCGGAGGGGGTGGTCGCGGCAACAGCAGCAGAGCTGGTCGAGCCGCTGAAGGGGCACGTGTAGGTGTAGTCAGTGACGGTGACGGTGACAACCTCGGCGGTGTGGGAGTAGACGCCAGGGGTAACGGTGGACACGGCGGGGTAGGTCACGACAGCGCTGGAGGGGACATAAGTGGTGGTGGGGGCGATGGTGTAGGTACCAGCGGCGGGGCAGTAGTAGGTGGTGTGCTCAATGACGCTGGTGACGGTGGTGCCCGAGGGCTTGACGGTGGCATAGGGGCAGACAATGGTGGTCGAGGTCTCGACAATGGTGGTCACACCGCCGATGGTGTGCGTGCCGCTAGCCAGAGTGGTGACGGCAGGAGTGACAACCTGGGTGGTCTCGCTGACAGTCACGGTGGACGCAGGGATGGTGTAGACACCGGTCGAAGCGAAGGTGGTGACATCGGGGGTGGGCAGCACCACGGCGCTGGAAGTGGGAACGACAGCGGCAGGAGTCGAGGTGGTCTCAACAACAGCAGCGGGGGCCGAAGTGGTCTCGACGGCAGCGGGAGCCGAGGTGGTCTCGACGGCAGGGACGCCGGTAGCACCGGTAGCGCCAGTCACGCCAGTGGCCTCAACACCCTCGGGGGTGGTGGTAGAAGCCTCACCGGGGGAGCCTCCAGCGGGGACGGTACCTGCAGACTCACCAGGAGTAGCAACAACGGTCACAGTGGTGTAGCTGGTGGAGTGGAGGGTGGTGACGACCTCGGAGACGACGGTCTCGGTGGCAGTAGAGACGGGCACAACTGGAAGAAGTTAGATGGCTCACTTCACCAGAGCAAGAGACAGTAACTCACGGGTAGGAGTTCCCCAGACGGTGACGACCTCGGTGGTACAGCCGCAGGTCTCCTCGGAGGCGGAGGAAGCACCGGCCTGCACGGCACGACGCTGGTGGAAGGGCTCGTGGGCATGGCGACGGTGAACGCCATCAGCCAGAGCCGTACCGACGAGGGCGGCCGCCGCGGTAGCAAGGAAAGCACCCTTCATTTTGCGAGGTCAGCAAAGAGGGATTGATCGGTGGGTGAGGTGGTTTGGGTGATGTTCCGAATCCGGTTATCGCAATGAGGGCCCGCTGAAAGAGTGAAGCGGTGGTCAATGAATGTGGGTTGGGAAGGAGAGGACTGGAAGCACGTTGGCCTCTAGTATATTGTCAGGTTCCGACCCGTGGAAAGGAAAACAATTCGAGACACGCTCGAGAGATGAAGGAAAGAACAGGTGAGAGAAGGAGGAGGAGGAAGGGAAAAAAGAGGGAGAAAGAGAGAAGAAGTAAGAAAGATGAAAGGGCCGATGGGGGGCGGTGGAAACTAGAAAAGAAAGCGAAATCGATGGTGGCGCCCCTGGAGACGGGATGGCTGGTGATTGGCACTAACCGATGCAGGTTCTGGGCCAAAACGGCCCCAATTGTGGACAAGAATTAAAATGACAGAAAGCGGAAAGAGGATAGCAGTAGTGTTAGCAAGTTAGCAGGTTAGCAACACAAATTCACAAAAGGGGGGGCGGCGGTGTGTGTAACTTCTTTCAGGGCTGCCAGGCACTGCCGGGCCACGATTGGTGGCGGGTTTCACGATGGACTCGGATGGAGGGGAAGGGGGGGATAAGATGTGGGGGCAAGCATGAATAGGTCTAGAAGGGTAAAGAAGTTGGTTGTTATGGAACTATCTCGGCCAACCTCCTGTGTCTGCACGGTGCAGGACTGTTTGGGACTGCTATACGACTTAAGCTGCAGTGATTGAGCATTGAAGCAAACTGTTTATCTATCAAGGTGCTGGTATACAGTGTAGGTCCAGGAGTTACCGAGTAGTTTGTTGACTGAGCGAGTGGAACAGTAAGAAAACTCTATATCGAACTACACCAACACCAATTTCTCTATGATTAGATGACCCGGGCTGGAACATCTTCGAAGATCACTGATGCTATCGAAGAATAGAGTTGAGAGCATCAACCTAGCTGCCCTGATAGTACTGAGTATCTGATCGGAAGTACTGTACTATCTGATTCCAGTTCCCCCTATCAGTCCCATAGTGATGGATCACAACTTCAGCCATGGATGATGAGTGCTGTGTTTTTGCGGGCTGCAAGGAACAGGAAACTTTTGCTGTGGACGCTTTCCCCGATCGGGTCACTTGGCGGGGCTCTTTTCCTCAGCCCTGGAGCCCGCCATTGGATGCATCAACAGCTTAATTTCCGGCCCTCCACCCAACCGGCCAATGGATTCGACGGACCGTCAGCCTAAGAGGGGCCGTGAGATTTCAGGAGGCTTTCACTTGGGTCTCCAAGACTGGATGAAACCGCTGGCCCAGAAAAGAGGCAGAGACACAATCCCTCAGGCTGGAAATAGCAACACCGCAACACCGCAACACCGCAGCAATGGAGCAACACACAATACAGCACCTACAGCACCGTAGTGATAGATAATATTCATCCGCTCGGCTACCTTCATGGCGTTGCCCAGAGACTTGGAATACGGAAATGGATATATCATCTCAAGTCAATTCTAAATCTTAACCTCCAAGCCGCTCGCCCCTGAAAAAGTTGACAGAGGTATAACTTTGCTCCAAAACACAGCCAATAATTGTCAATAGAGTCAACACCCATGGTGATCGGTGCTCCGGCAGGTGAATCTAGCGTGGAGGGCACCTTAAACACAATGCCGATCCCCATCACCACCTTCAGCCCCCTCGGTTTTGAGGACCATGTTGTTTTTGCTCTGGTGGAGCAGACTGCAGCCCATCTCAACGGTGACAGCTGGAGGGTTACCCAGCAGCAGCCGAACAACCGAAGCCACGGCGGCGAAAAGAGGGAGGAGTGTGCTGTGTCAGAGTCGCCTCCTCGTGCCGTGCCCTTCGTTTACAGGGTCCCAGGGGAGAGGGGAGAGGGGGGAGGGGGGAGGGGGCTTTAGTCTACCCCAGACGATCCGTAGAATGCATTGCATTTGATCGGTCAGCTTCAGCCGCCGCCTCAGCCTCAGGGATTGCCACCTAGCATATCCGTAGTATACCAGCAGTTCGAGGTACAAGAACCTTCGCCATGCTCTTGAGTTTATTCAATCACGCACTTACTTTTTTTTTTCTCTCTAGGATGTTGACGATCACTGCTCATTTTCATCTTTCGATCAACACCCGGTCAGCCCGGTCTGGACCGAGTCAGTGCTGGCCCTCCACTGCGGACCGAGGTGCCCCTGATTGAGCTTGGCTTGAGTCTGTTGCTGGCAGAGCAGGGAAGTTAAATGGGTTCGCCAATACGCGAAATCAATAGTTCGGGTCTGGTGTGAGACACGGTAGCAGCCAAGTCTACGTGGTTTACCCCTGATTCAGTGGGAGGCGGGTTATAAAGGATATGAGAGGGATCCTGGGGGCGTGACTGTCATGTGTGCACCGCCATTGCTATTCAGGGCCTCCTCAATTGGAACTTGGGGCGCAGCCGACTGGGGCGCAGGTAGTATTAATGGTGGGATTCTGGAAGATTCTCACCGGCTGGCGGATGCCGATTTGATGCCTGAGGCATATAGCTTGGGTGCACGGAGTCAAGACAAGAGTGAAGTCGCAGTCGCAGTCATACTGCACCGTTATCAAGTTACCTAGAAATTAGTAGGTCGCTAAGCTATCGATCTGCTGAAGTAGACGTAAATTCCGCAGTGGTTGGCCAATGACCTGGTCGCCAGCAACAATCAAGGCCCGGCTCAACACCATCGCCATCGCATCACCATCACCATCACCACCAGCACCAGCACCACCACCTCAAAACCAACACTCCCCGAACTACAGAGCTTTCAAGAGAGAAGAAGCATCTGGACTCCCAATTATATACTCCCAACCTTCGACACGCCCAAGAAGCACACAGAAAGACCACCGACCCAATCCCCCGGGACCCCATCGTACGACCCCAACCAGACCGTACCATCACCTCACCTCCTCTCACCATCCGATCATGCCACACCGCATCAACCACCACAACCACATGGCCCAAGCATACGATACATGCACACCGCATAGCAAATCCAGCCACCGCCACGAGTCCTTCCCAGCAAACCAACCCAATCTCACCAATCCCAAGCACCCCATTGGTGCAAATCCCCCATGTAAACCCGACAGCCCACTGCATACCGACATCCATGCACCCACGCCTTCTCAGCCTCGTGATACCAGTTCGTACTGTCCCCCGGACAATCTCGAACTCTCACCAACCCCAAGAGCCCCCACCGGTTCAACCTGGCCGCATAAGGTGACCTCACCCGGAACAAGGCCTCCGACTTGATTTCCTGCCATACTCACCTCGACAACATGGGCCGGAAATCGCACCACCCCTCATACTACCCTCGTAATCGCGAGCCCGATCCCACGGGAACTGTGCCATCCGGGTTGCGCTTCGTCGCTTTCCGCCGGATGAGACGATACTCATCCTCTATCGGGAGGAACTAGAGGAGAGTGGCATAGTAGAACCAGAACTATACAGTGTAGTAGTATATAAGCTTCGAACCAGATCCCGGATCCCCTCAACCCAAGCACCAAGCAGAGCATCAAGCAAAGCATCAAGCAAAGCACTCGGGATTTGATCCAACATCCCAAGTATACTCTACAGCCAATCGCCAATCAAATCACTCCATCCTCCACCTACCTTATCCTCGTTTCCCAGAAAGAACAACCCAAGCCAACATGACAAACACCACCACATCCAAGTCCCGCCTACAGAACGACTTCGGCGCCGATCTCTGGGTCAAGGATCGGCCGAAACATGTTCGTTTTTCCCTCCCATCCCCGACCCCAGATCATCCAACCTCACCTGCCCAGGACAGAATGCTGACCAGAATGACACAGCACGCAACAGCAGGCCGAGGCCTCTTCGCGGGGCTGCAGGACACGAAGCGCTACAACGTGGACTCCGGGTGGGCGAAGCGCAGCACGGCCGACTCGTCGCAGGGCTTGTTTGGGTTGTTGTGGAGTCGGTATGTTTCTTCTGGCTTTGGGGTTGTAGTTGAGGGGGGACTATGGGCTGTTGGTTCGGTGATGATAAGCTGACTTGTGGTCTGGATAGATTTACCGGGGGCTCATACCGGCCTCCGACGGATTAGAGCATTTTCTTGGACTGGGGAAGGAGGATGGGCATGCTTATGGTTCTCTTCGTTGTATCTTCTTATGTGTATGTTTGCGTGGGTGTTGGAGGTTAGGGATTGAATTTATTGCTTAATGTTCTCTTCGAGATGCATTTTTTATCGAATGGGGGAGATGTGTATATCCGGATGGGTGTGATGAATCAGGTCAGGCTTTGCTTTTGGTAGGGGTTGCCTAATACATGGTACTGTACATGTGGGTATAGATTTGAGGTATTTGCGCTGATCGGATCTACCCTTGTTCATAGTGCTGGTCATCAACCACGGTAGTCCTGTGACTGACATTAGTACTGATGCTTTCTTGTAAGATAACTCAGGGAGAAGATCCAGCACGCAGACTAACGAATCACAAAGGATACCAAGATTGCCAAACCTACCCATGACTACTAAACCGTGGTCAAGAACTGTCCAGTATACGACGAAAACCAAGTCCAATTCCAGCACGCTATCCCTCAATCATCAAACAAGGAAGACAAACATCACCCACCCGAGCAGGTATCATCCTCAGAGTCAAGAATTTTGTTCCTATTCAACACTCCAAGTCCCACTCACAAGCATAAAAAGTAAGTAATCAATTCCACTCTTTAATCCGCTATCGATCCACCACACCTCCTCCATTACCCATCGACCTACCCATAAATCTCAAACCTCCACAATTCTCGCCTCGCAACAGCCTGATCTCACCCCATGGATCATCAGGAACCACCGTGACCTGCAACCCATTTCGCACGATCCGTCACCCACAGCCTGATAACCCACAAACCACTCCCTCAATCTCAGCCACGAACGGCATCCTAACAAGCACGAGTACCCAAATCAAGGACGGTGGCACCGCTACAACAAAACCAGTCAGCTCGTCTTCACCCCAGTGATCCCCAACGGAAAGAAAAACTCACATGATCAGCCCCGCAATACAAGGGCACACAGCAGCCCATGCCGCTCGTTGCGTTGGCGACACACGCTCTATCGTTTAGCTGCGGTGCTTGTCAGTACATCCTCCACATAAATATCATGATCATTGTGGACAAGAAGGGGAGGGTGGGTTCAGCCGGAGGGGGGGGTTCGCATCACAATGAAGCCAAGGGTCGGGGTCCGTGAGAGAGGAATGAATTCCGGGGACGCGATGGGATGGTCGGATGGTCTTGACCTCCGGGGTCGAGAAAGTCATCCGGATCGATCTCATCCAATACCCAGAACCCATCCCATCCCATCCCATCCCATCCCATCCCATCCCCACCGCAATCTTCAAACAACCCCCGTACAGAATGGAGTACACAACCCCATAGACCAAACCAGCACCCCTCTCCACCACAAACCCCCAACACAACACAAGCCCCCCCCCCTTCCCTAAGAGCAGAAACTCACCCCAACGCATGAGAGCTCGATATTGAACATTCCATTCTCGGCGGGCCGGGCGGCCGTCAACGAGGCGAGGAGGGCGACGACGGCGAGGAAACGCATTTTTCAAGTTAAACGGAAAGAATATCGAAAAGGATTCTGCAAGAGACCGATAGTCAGCAAGCAAGCAAGCACTGCACCCAACACCAACAATTCCCCAAGTCAAACCCCGAATCCTAAGCAAAATCTCCGACGCCACACCACCACCACCACCAAACCCAAAGAAAGAAAGTGCAAACAAAGTTATGACACATACCAGTCAATGCTATCAATCACTCAAGAAATCAAGTACTTCCGGAATGAGGCAGCAGAAGAACAACGTGGGACGTCAACCTGAAAGGAAGAATGTGGAAGAAAACGAATTCAAGAAACGGGAACGGAAAATGCGATTGATCTGCTAGGTAGGTCAGGTAGGGGTAAAACACAATGACGCGCGCAAGGCAGGACCCCAACGTTCTTATGAAGGCGTGTGTTGGTCGTGTCGTGTGGTAGATCCCTTCCCTCCTGTTTGAAGTGGCCTGGTGGAGTGCGTGGGTGGAGTGCCTTGGCTTTCTTTACTCAGCACTTGATAACTTTCCGGTCGGTTCCTTTTTTTTTTTTTTTTTTTGGTTCTGAATATTTTGGATTTTTGGATTTGTCGACAGTCACGAGATCTATTTTTAAATGGGAGATGTAGTGCTGGTGTGGTTGGTGCTGCTTAGGTGTGTAGGGGAAAGTAGCCGGTAAACAGCAACAACAGCAGCAACAAACCCGTGAAACAGTAATCGGCGGGATCGGCGCGGGAATCCCTGCGGAGGGAAGGTGTGGATCGGCAGGGGAAGAGGAGGAGGAGGGGGCGGGAGAGAGGGGCCAGTCGCGACTGGTTTCCTGCCTCCAGTCTTTTACTGAGTCGAGTTTCCCTTAAAGCAGGGCAACTCGGGCGTCGGGAGTGACAGGCAACCCCCCGACCGACCGACCGACCGACCGACCGGCCCCAAACTCCAGGCTCGCTCCATACCACCACCACCACCACCACCACCACCACCACCACCACCAGAGTGGGATCGTCACGTCCAAAGCCCAATAGTTTTCCTGCTCTCTGCGCTTGGCGGGAACACTAGTGACGAAGCGGTGCTGCAGGATCATTGCAGTGCCCGTGTTGGCCATTATTGCACGTATATACGGAGCTGTCCTGCACTCAGTGAGCACTGAGCAGCCACCATGTTTTGGTTTCAAGGGGCTGAAGCATTACAGTACAGTACCTACAGCGTATATCATGGTGGCATCATCCTGACATTCGCGAGGCTTGATCTCCTCTCAATGTACTCATATCTAACCCTCACCCTAGAACCATGCTATCAGTGCTGCGGTGGAGTACGGTCGCTTGGCTATCTCCTTTTACCGAGTAAGTTCGCCTGTCGATCGCAACGGTTACCCAAGCGAGCGGGTCGTCGTGCGACTATTCAGGAGTCAGAGGCCCCGTGTGTATGTCCCTACTACTCCTCTGTCACTATTCAGGAGTCGGTCAGATATTCCTATGTTACCATCCTCCCACAAAGCATCAACTCGCCGGGGCATGTGAAGAGTCAATTCACCGTATATCTCGAATCCCACAAACCGGGACAACACACAAAGGTTCATGCTGATACAAAGGTGGAACCCGACTATGCATACATACACCAAACTCATCCCAAATTATACAGGTTCATTAGTAGTCAAGTGTGTCCAAAAAATCAGTGCAAGGGCTGTGCTGCTGTGCTATGTAGAATGTCAAATCCCTCTGGTATAAAGAATGTTTCAACCAAAACCAAGAACCAAAAGCAAAATGGCCACGCATATGGTGCTGCTGGTGGCGTAACTGTGAAATCCGCCCGATATCTCGTGCACGCAGGAACTAAAAAATGCTGAATCGTTTCGATTTACCCTCTATATTCCAATTAGTCTCACCTTCATCCCAATATCAAATCGTCAAACCACTTACCAGCCTTTCCACTCAACTTCTTGCCCTTCCCCGCATCCGCGACCCCTTGCTCTGGTGCAACCCCATCGGCGGCCGCTCGAATAGTCGCCAGCCGATTCTTCGCCCGCTCATCACCTTGCTCGGCAGCCTTGACGTACCATACGTTGGCTTGCAGCGGGTCGCGTCGACAGCCAATGCCCGTCTCCGTAAAATACCCAATGGCGTATTGGGCTTTCACCAAGCCTGTCAAACATAAAAGTCAGCATCGAAAACAGACCACGCCAGTGCAATCAACTTACCGGATTCGGCAGCACGTTTGGCCCATTCGTACGCCTCCTCTTCGTCCTTCTCGAGGACAGGCTCAGCTCCAATCAGATACCAAGCACAAAGGGCCATCATGGCCAGAAGATGGCCCCCCTGTGCCGCCCCTGTGTAGAAGTGGATCGACAAAGCCGGGTCGCGCGGACAATCCAACTTGCCGTGCTCGTATGCATCTCCCAGGCGATAGCTGGCTTCGACGTGCCCCAGGTCCGCCGACTTCGTGAACAGTTGCGCGGCGTACGACGGGTCCAGAAATACGTCATCGCCATAGCCCGTCTCATGCAGCAATCCGAGCTCATACGGGCCAGAATTGTACTGCTCATCCGCGGACTCGGCCGCACGCTTCAACCACTTGATCCCCTCGCGGTACCGTTTGCCGAGACCCATGTCGCCCGCAAGACATGCCTTGGACATTCGCAGCATAGCGCCCGGATGATTCTTGGATGCTGCTTGCCGATAGAACTGTTGTGCCCGGGCAGCCTCCACCCGAGTACCCCAACCAAACTCAAAACACAGGGCCGCCCGATAGCATGCCTCGACGTGTCCGTGTTTGCTGGCCGCCACAAACAGCGGGAACGCTCGGTCATAATCCTCCTTGCCCTTGCTGAACAGTCCGGACGCGTATCCATCCGCAATGTAGTATTGCGCGAACGGGTAGCTCCGATCAGAAAGCCGCTGGAGGATCAACTTGGCTTCTTTCAGCAATCCGCCCCGAGTGATCTCTGCAGCTTTACGTCCGTACACGGCAGAGGCATCGCCACCAAGTCCATCCGGTGGCATGTCCAGCGCGGCATTAACCATGAACAGGGCAAACTCATACTGAACGGCCGGGTCGTCCGTTTTCTTGACATTGGCCAAGTACATGTCAAACGTTTGCTTGTGGCTCAGCAACGAAGCATTATTTCCGATCGCCGACTGCAGCTGGGAGTTGCCGAACTGCACGGGAGCCGGACCAGGTTGGGGGTAGTGGCTGTTGAGCTGATCGACAAAAGACAGTGGCCGAACGTCGGGCGATGCAACAGACTCTCTTGAAGATGACCGGCCCTGGAGATATGGGGATAGATGAGGGGACCGATGGCGTCCTTCGCCGACGCTGGACGTGAACGAGTACGTCGACCGCGGTCGGGGTCTGGCGCTCAAATAGCCGTTCGTGCCCGAGACGTTCTCCCCGGATCCAGTGGCCGAGGACTGTGAAGGGACCTCATAGGGACGGTGGTGGTAGTGCAAAGGTTCATAGACCTCTGGCGTCTCTGCGCTGCTATCCAGACTTTCCCGCGGTGAAACGTTTTCATTCTCTTTTGGAGCTGGTTGGTCGACGGAGGATGAGCTGGTAGTTGCAAGGCTGTCGGGCTGTTCTCTGGAGTTGGGGTCGACCACGGACCACGAGCCACTGCTCGTGGGCGTGTGGCCATATACTAACGGCCGCGGCGCTCGATATAGTTCTCCCTCACGTGGAGGTGCATCGTCGATATCCTTCCCGTGCGTCGGGGATTTTTCTGCAAGCGCCAAGTCGGAAAAGGCAGCGCCCGTAAGTGACAAAGCATATTCGTCGTCGTGAAAATTCTGGACCGGCTGGTCGACCTCGCCATGAATCCGCACTCTCGGAACCTGTACAGGCTGATATGTCTTTTCATCAGTCGCCGGCGATCGTGACGGCGGCGATTGTTCGCGCGTGGAAACCATATTCAATTGATGATGCGAGCTGGGTCGTCGGGGTGTTTCGTGACGCGACGAGAGAAAGGGCGGGGATGAACGGAGATAGACCGGAGGAGGGGAAGGCAGCGGCTGAGAAAACCTGCTGGCCTCAGTGCTTGCCATTGAAGCGACTCCTCACTATTTCGGGGTGTACGTAATCCTCCGAGTTGATTTCTCCAAGTTGTCAAGCTGGGTGTCTGATTCTTAATCCTTGCAGGATCCAAGCGTGGCAGACTGACTGAGTCTAAGCGTTGGACATGTAGGCAGCCATGAAGCAGGTCAATGAAGTCGAGGGTATTCTTCTGGAGCGACTGATGGAATGCAAAGACAACGTCAACGAGAGATGGGATGTGCACCGGTTATCAGGCGACCAGGGACTGAGAGATGTGGAGAACCTGGAGACGATGGGTCAATGAGAGGACGAAATTCGGGGGGGGGTTCCACCAGGCAGGATAGACAGGCTTACCTAGTCAAATCTGTTGAAGGAACCGTGGTGATGATCGGTACTTCCGAGAGTTCATTCCGCCCAATACAAAAAAACGAAAGGAGATTGATTCACCAAGGACCAACGAGAGTGAGGAACCTGGGGGGGGACACAAACGACAGTGACAACGCCAGAAGGGGAGAGAGAGGAGGGGAACTTGAAAAGAACTTGGAAGAGTTGTGTGGTGCGGTGATGAGAAAAAGAGAGAGGAAATGGCGAGAAGGGGACGGACCAGAGTAAAGAGACTAGACTAGTCAGTATGTACTCCGTACAGTATACAGTATGTACGGAGATACTCAGAGGAAACAGAACAGTACAAAACACTCTTTCTCTTTTCTTTTAGTGCCAATGGCCCCTCAAACTTACTAGTACTATGGAAGAAGCTAACCAGCTAAGCCCCTCTAGGGTTAGTCAGTAGTTCGTCAGTGGCTTTAGTGGCTCGGATTAAAAATAGCGCCGGAGAGGCGTGGGAAACATTACGAGCTGCTGTTGCTGTTGCTGCACCCACTGCTAATGTATGTTTCACTCTCTCACTCCAGGCTGCTTCCTCCTCCATGCGCTTCGTTGCCTCCCCTCTCCGTATCTGGGCATTCCTCCCATTGAATATCTGGTCTCGCTGCTATGATCATACAAGTCGCGTCATCGATGCCCTTTTATTGCTGTCCATCCATCTCCATGTCTACGGGCGAATGAGATGACTTCCTAGCACTCTTTCCCGTCCTGCGCCGCCTGACAAACCGATGCGATGTCGCCATGACTCTGACTCTCAAACGAGATTTTCGCACTTGCCGAGCAATTCACGGCGTCAAAAGACTACCACGTCAGCAACTATTAATACCACTTAAAATGGTCGATATTAGGTCCATCGGGCTACAGCCTATCAAAGCATTCCTGCCAAGAGTGCCAATAACCGCTTCCTTTTCCCCACGGGGCATCGCCATTGCAAAGGATCCTCGGACGAAGATCGCAGGCGCTTCCAGCCCTCCAGCAAGCCCGATTCGCATCGCATTGACGGTGACAACTCTTTTAGCCTGTTCAGCCGCGGGGTCATGAGATGCCTCCCGGAAATGATTACTGCAGCTCAGCGCTAGGCTACGGCGGCCACTCCATCGCTAACAGTTACGATTCGCAACGGGTATAGTCAGCCGGGACACAAAAGTCCCTGACGGCCCTGTCGGCTTGATCGTGATTCAGTACATCTGTAGTGATTCTCCCGCTTGCCGGCTGCTTCCAGGCTTATCGCGACGACAACTCCTATTGGGTTGCTCCTGAGCACCCTTCAGCGAAACGACGGAGAATGTCGAACCTGCGCTTCGGGTGGCTCCCGCAGCAGAGTGACTACATGTGTGTCATCGGCTAGGACGTATCAAAATCTAACCGAATCGTTCATGAAACCTGAGAGACCTGTTCCTGGGTAGGTCGCAGGTTACCCAGGGTGATCGGAGTAATCACGATTTCGTCAGCGGCAAGCACATAAATATTGAATGTTATACTTCCGCGCATCTCGTATCCCTAGCTGATCGATCAACTCGCCCAAGCTGACAATGTCGATGCGATAGAACGCCTCTTACACAACACTATCTGAGTGTGTACTCATGCAATGCATATAAATTCTTCGACAATGGCGCATTAAGCGTGTTTTTCGAGGCGGCGGTGCATGGTTCGTTTCGAAGCGATAACAAGGCAAGAAATGCATCGACCCCAGAGACCGTCCCAAGGCATATTCATACTGTCGAGAGAAGCTTTCGTTCGCGATACGCATAAAGCGGTGTAGCAAACCCCTGACGAGCAGAGTAGCAGAATAGAACCAATCGCGCAGTAAAAGCCAAGAAAAAGTCATTCTGCTGTGTTTTCCAGACAACAATCCGCACATGATGTCGGGCAGTAGCCGTTTGCTGGTGGGAGGTCGTCAATTTAAAGATAACTGTCGAGTTGACATCATAACTGAAGGGACTATAGGGTCGAATCCAGATAACAGCTGATAGTCACCCTCGATGCGCGTTGGTCGGTTTGCCGGGTGCTTTATCCCAGTACAGGGCCGAGCGCCGACATGCAAGCCTGTTGTCGAAGATCAGGGTCCATCAGATGCGACGCTTAGGTGATCCATCACACTTGCAGCAGACGAATTGGTTCGGCCGAGGGGTCGGGGCCTAGCCTTGGAGACTGGGTTGCGAGGAAGTATAAGTTGATGGATCCACACTAGCACTGACGGTCTGCTTGGTGGTTCAAAGACAGTGAACAAGACTCCTAAGGGTATAATTTTCCTCCTAGTGTCCTTTAGCTTGATATTTCTTTGCCTTTTTGCCCCCTTAATTTGAGGCTTCTTATGCTCAAGCCTCAAGCTGACTGTCAGCCCACGGACAGAAGCCATCGATCACGTTACCACTCCACGCACAGGCCACCCACGGCCAAGAGGCTCGTTGCTCTCGGTCTCAGCCCGGGCCTTGGGAGCCAGGAAACCACTTTGCGTCCCATCGGGCTGAGCAAACGGTGAGCGACAGCGTATGACCTATCAGGTGTAACCGGGTACGATGAGACCATTTATAACCAGCTAGACGTTGCTCGTCGATGGTGTCAACCAAAGAAACGGGAGCCGGAAAAAAACCTGAGAGTCACTGGACCCTGCGGGTAGGGTGTGGCGACGAGTCCACCCGATTCGCCCTCAAAAATAGAACGATGCATGTGTATGGTCGGGTAGTTATGTACTGTACACAGTATGTACTGTACGGACGACATGCTGAGACAATGTGTCATCGACCTGACCGTAAGATCTGCAGGCTGAGCGATGTTGACACGGTTGACACTGGACACTGGACATTGGACACTGGCACTTGAGAATGACATGTGAGAGCTGACAGGGAGTCGTGACAATAGCTCATCAAGAATTGATCCTTTACCGAGTGCACTAGGAACAGTACTCCGTACCTGTGCATTGAATGATTGATCAGTTGATTATCTAACGAGGGGGCGGAGCTTCTTGTGTGAAACCCACTAAACCCGATCGAGCCCGGTGGCCTGTCCGGCCGGAGCACAGAACCCAATCAAGCCAGGGTCTTGCTCTCGACCTTGGACTGCATGCTTCTCCATTCTCTCTACCAGTCTCTGCCTGATTGTCTCAGAAGTGGAGTGGAAAGGAACGGAATGCAGAGAGTGAGATTGATAGGCATCCACTTCCCAGCATCATGTTCAATCTACTCCGGAGTAAGTTCTTTTTCAGCAGATGCTATCTATGCCCCCAGCAATTGGCGTGGGCCGGTAAGATTCGCTGCTTGCTGGTCTGGCTGATAAGTTAGTGACTTGTTAACTTGCTTAGCGGGGCACACACCTCAGGCCATCCATTGCCCCTAGCGACCGCCTGCAGCAAGCAGCACAGTATCGGAAGACTGTTTGTGTACACAGTACATACAGTACTCCGTACGCAGGATTTATCTCATTCATCTCAGTTCATGCCACAGGCCAGTCATCCATCGTCATCTCTCATCCATCAATCTCCTCCTGTTCTTATCCTTCTTCGCCCAAGACATCATTCATCGTCCACATTCCTCCCATCATCTGTCACCGCTGCCTGCCATTTCCCTACCCCACCAGCATTCTTTCTTTCTCGTCTTCCTTCGCTGATCGGATGGGCCCGACTCGACTGGCTTGGCAACGATAAGAAACGGGTCCCCCGTGATCATTTGGAGCAACGTGGGAAAGAGACCCGGCGTACGAGTAAGATTCAATATTTGGATACGGGCGGTACCTTTGGTTGAACAATCTTGGGTGCCCGTATTCCCTCGACTAGCCTCTAAGTTATCTAGCCTACAGGGACTACCACCACCGCTAGTCACTCTAGACTCTTTCCCATTGCTGGTTACTCCGCACTATCGCCTGCAGCGCCGTGGTTTCGCCCATCTCCCCTTTCCTTTTCCACCACTTACTCTTCATCCATTGCGCTCGCTCGATCATCTCGCTGGTCTGCTCCAAAGTCACTCGTTCCTTGGCAGCAAAAATCCCGCCTGTTGTATCCGCATCCGCACTCGCTTTCTGTCCTGGAATCTCTCCCTGTTTCTCCACATTCATTCCTGGATTGCTCGTCCACGGAGGGTTTTCTAGCATCCAACTACGGAGCTGTATCCCGCCCTGCGCGCAGCGCCTGCATTTCCGGGGAGAAGTGTCTTCTGCCTACGAAGAACCTAAATTCGGAACAAATCCTTATAAAGCCGTTACTCACAACTGTTGTTTATGCTGAGGTGAAGGTGGGTAGGGTCTTTCCTTGATGCTATCTTATCATGTCTTCCCCGACTGTTTGCATTTCACATGCAAACCACGCGCAAAATCAACATGCGGGCAGTTCTGCCTTGTTCGCATGCATTTCAAAAGTCTCCTGCGCCTATGCGACCGATGGCAATGAATCACTAATTTAAATCCCCAATCTCAGGTACCAGACCAGGGCCATGTCCTTACCTCAACGTCCGGGGAAGGCTTCCCCGCGACGAGAAGAAACATTTGACTCGTATCGCGAGTCTTCCGGGAGGCGCCATCGTACCCGCGAGTCGACAGGCCAGCATGATCACGAAGACAGCTCCCCGTCGGGACATCGCCACCATCGCCACCATCGCTCACGTAGCTCCAGGAGACGAAGCGATGCGGATGTGGAGAGGGGCGACTGGGGGACAGACTCGAAAAATCGAAAGAGCTTCGTGAAACCGGAACGCACCCGAGTGGATCAGAACCATCCTCATTACCACTATCGCCAGAAGTCGCAGAACATGCCAACCCACCCGTCCCAGACGGGGGACGAGCCCACGATGGGTCGCGAACAGGAAGCAGATACAAACAGCTCACGAAGTTCAGAGTCCAAAGGGAAGACAGGGGTATACGTCACTCAGGGAAATGTCAATCAGCCGATGGAAAGGGTCCCCAAGAAACGTCGCATCAAGAAGAGAAGATCATCTCGCAGAATCAAGAAGACAGCTGCTGCTGCAGAAAGAGAACGCCAGAAAGCGCTGGAGCAGGTCCGTCCACCCAGTCCTTGGACCACCTATTGCGCCATCATCACCTTCTGGGCCCCCGATTTTGTCCTGAGCTGCTTCGGCATGCCGCAGAAGGCCCAGAGAAGCGCCTGGCGGGAGAAGATCGGATTGATCAGCATCATCTTGATGATTGGGGCATTCGTCGGTTTCCTCACCTTCGGTTTCACGGCTACCGTTTGCGGCACTCCCCCGACTCGGCTTAGGGTCAATGAAGTCAGCAGTAGCTACATGATCTTCCACGGTCAGGCATACGACTTGTCGCACTCGACGCACCCAGCGGCCGCGGGCATCCCGGCTGGGACTAACGTACTCTGGGATCTATCGCATAAATACGGAGGTCAAGACGGTAGCTTCTTCTTTCAGGAGGTCAATGGGGAGTGCAAGGGCTTGATCACTCTTGCCGATGGATCTGATGTGCCCACAAACTCGGATGGCGACCTTGCGTGGTACTTCCCGTGTCATGCGTTCAACCAGGACGGTTCGTCCGAGCCGAACATGACGGAGTCTTACTACCTCGGCTGGGCCTGCCACACTTCCGGGTCGGCTCGCAAGTCGTTCTATAACTTGAAAAGCTCTGGTGATGTGTATTATACGTGGGAGGACACCAAGAATAAGAGCAGGAATCTTGCCGTCTACTCTGGCAATGTCTTGGATCTGGACCTTATACGGTGGTTCGACACAACGCAAGTCAAATACCCGAAGAAATTTGATGAGCTTCGTGAGAACTCGGCCGTGCGCGGGGTGGATCTCACGTACTACCTGCAGACTGGCGAAGAGAAAAAGGTCGGCAAGTGTTTGTCTCAGATCATCAAGGTCGGCAGCATCGACACCGACACGGTTGGCTGCATTGCGTCCAAGGTGGTGCTTTACGTATCACTGATCTTCATCCTCTCAATTGTTGTGGTGAAATTCATCTTTGCCTTACTTTTTCAGTGGTTCCTGGCCAAGCAATACGCCCCGGCTCGGACGAGTATGGCAGCTGACCCCAAGACACGAAACCAGCAAATCGAGGACTGGTCAAACGACATCTACCGCCCGGGGCCACGAGTCGCAGACCAGACTATGCTGGAGCGGCCCGGTAAGAGGGCCAGCTTCTTGCCGACCACGTCTCGCTTCTCTAGTCCCTACACCGTGAGCAACGGGGGCAAGCAGAAATACCAGTACGTGACGATGGCCAGTCAGAACTCGACCACCCGCTTGGTGCCCGGTGGGAGCAACTCCGTGTACAGGCAGAACTACAACGAAAGCGGGGGTAGTTTGACGGCTGATGGTTCGCGCCATGCCAATTCAGCCAGTCGATCTAGCTTGGCACTTCAGGACTCCCGGTATTCAACTGCGATGCCGGAATCGGAGTCTGCTGGACTAGGTGGCTTCGTTCATGAAGCGGTCATTCCTCAGCCCCCTCCCGAGTGGCAGCCATATGGCTTCCCCTTGGCTCATTCTCTATGTCTGGTGACTTGTTACTCGGAAGGTGAAGAGGGTATCCGCTCCACGCTGGACTCAGTTGCCATGACCGACTATCCGAACAGCCACAAAACCATCATCGTGATCTGTGATGGAATGATTAAAGGTAAAGGCGAGGAGTTTTCCACCCCAGAGATTGTTCTGCGCATGATGCGTGATCCGATCGTCCCGATGGACGAGGTCCAGCCCTTCTCTTATGTTGCCGTGGCCACCGGATCCAAGCGGCACAACATGGCCAAGGTTTACGCTGGTTTCTACGACTACGGCGCAAATTCGATCATTCCCGAGGAAAAGCAGCAGCGCGTGCCCATGATGATCGTAGTGAAGTGTGGAACACCGGCCGAAGCGAACCAGTCCAAGCCCGGTAACCGTGGTAAGAGAGATAGTCAGATCATTCTGATGTCGTTTCTGCAGAAGGTCATGTTCGATGAACGAATGACGGAGCTGGAGTTTGAGATGTTCAACGGGCTTTGGCTGGTCACCGGGATTCCGCCGGACTTCTACGAGGTTCTTCTGTGCGTCGATGCAGACACCAAGGTGTTTCCGGACAGTCTGACGCACATGATCTCGGCGATGGTGAAAGATCCGGATGTTATGGGATTGTGTGGGGAGACGAAGATTGCCAACAAGACTGACAGTTGGGTTACAATGATTCAGGTGTTTGAGTAAGCTTCTCTTCTTTTTATGATTCAGGTCTTGTTGTTGGATCAAACTAACCAACCATCTAGATACTTCGTGTCTCACCATCAGGCCAAGTCATTCGAGTCGGTCTTTGGCGGTGTGACCTGTCTTCCCGGATGTTTCTCGATGTATCGTATCAAGGCGCCCAAGGGCGGTCAAAACTACTGGGTCCCGATTCTCGCCAACCCGGACGTGGTCGAGCATTACTCGGAGAACGTCGTGGACACCCTCCACAAGAAGAACTTGCTTCTCCTGGGCGAGGACCGCTATCTGTCGACACTCATGCTCCGGACCTTTCCCAAGCGCAAGCAGATCTTCGTGCCGCAGGCCGTGTGCAAGACCCAGGTCCCCGACAAGTTCATGGTGCTGCTCTCCCAGCGCCGACGGTGGATCAACAGCACCGTGCACAATCTGATGGAGCTCGTGTTGGTGCGCGACCTCTGCGGCACTTTCTGTTTCAGCATGCAATTCGTCATCTTCATCGAACTGGTGGGCACGCTCGTGCTCCCCGCCGCCATCGCCTTCACCTTCTACGTGGTGATCAACTCGATCGTCCACCGGCCCGTCCAGGTGCTGCCTTTGGTCTTATTGGCCTTGATCTTGGGCCTCCCCGGCGTCTTGGTGGTGGTCACCGCCCACCGCATGGTCTACGTGCTGTGGATGCTGATCTACCTGCTGTCGCTGCCCGTGTGGAATTTCGTCCTGCCGACCTACGCGTACTGGAAGTTCGACGATTTCAGCTGGGGCGACACGCGGCAGACGGACGGCGGCAAGGACAAGGGCCACGAGGCCGGCGAGGGCGAGTTCGACAGCAGTCAGATCACGATGAAACGATGGCGAGATTTCGAGAAAGGTGCGTGCCATCCCCCTCCCCCCTCCTTTCCCTCGACTCATAACATCTCCAATGCGTTATACTGACATACATTCGCATCCGGATAGACCGTCGCCTCCACATGCAAATGCAAGCCAGCTATCCTCCCTACCACCCCCAGCATAACCCCTACTCCGGGTAGATAGATAATCGGTGGCTGCGTTTGACGGAGTTGATTGTTTTTTTATCTTGTACATTTTGATTGTTGGTTTGTGGTTTTGGGAATGCGTCGCAGAGATGGCGGTGCTGTTGGAATCATGCGCAAGCGATTCTCCCTTTTATTTTTCTTTGGATATAATTCTTCATGCTGCAGATGGTGTGGTGTTGAGTGCGGATGTTGTTGAGTTGGAAGTTGGACATAGGAGGGGTAATTATTGGGGAGAGGGTGGCAGTGAGAAAGAAGCGTTGGGGATGAGCTTGATTTGGGTTGGGGGAAGGGGGGGGGGGGAGTTGTAATTATATATCGTACCTAGCCTAGTATTCCTACCTTATGATTTATGAACTCAATATTTTTTTTTTGGTGTTTGGTGTTTGGTTTATCCTGGTATTTACTGATGTGCAGTAAGCGTCGAAGATCTCGTCTGCCGCGGCCCCAACGGCCACTCAAATACACATCCCCGTAGTAAATAGTCTCAATCAAGCCTTCCTAGTCGATCGATGATCACATAGTTTTTGAATCTGAAGTCATATGTACTGTATGTATTCCTAGAAATGCATATGCGTATCTACTATCCCATTTTCTAAACCCCGACTCACCTCACACAACCAACAGCACAAAAAAAAAAAAAAAAAGAAACGCATCTATTGAACTTCTCCCAGCTATCCGGGTATAAAAGAAACCAACCAACCAACCAACAAACCAACACTTTCCCCCACGAGCCCCTTCTCTTCAACCAGCATCTCCTACTCATCGTGACCACACCAACCGAGACAAAACGACCTACCAATCATCATCATCGTCCTGATGATGCCCCTGCATCGCATTCTGCCTCGCTTTCAGCGCCTCCGCCAACCCACCCGCCAGACTGGCGTTGGACGCGCTATTCGGCGTCGCCCGGCCGCTGCCCCCGGACGAGTCGTGCGCCGAGTTCATGCTCACCGCGCTATCGCGGGGGGCCGGGGGCGGGGCCGGCGCCATCTTGCGGCCGGCCATGTTGGGCCGTTTCATCGGCGGCGCGGGGGGTGCGGGCTTGGCTTTGGCTTTGGCGGCCACGGCGGCGCCCGCGCCCGCGCCGTTGGTCGCGGGGATGGGGCTGGCGCGTGCGGAGGCAGGGGGAGGGGGCGGGGGCGCGGGTTTGGGCGTCGGAGCGGCGGCGACGACTTGTTCTTCGAGGTAGGCTTCTGGGGTCCAGCCTTGGACGGCGGTGGTCATGTTCATGCAGAGCCACCAGCCTGGGGGTTTCGTTAGTATGGGGCTGTGGTCTTCGGGAATGGAGGTTGGCTTACCGTTGCCCTCCTTGGACACGATCTGCACGATCTCGCCGGCGCGGATGGACAGCTCGTTCGACCGGTCGCTGTTGAAGTCGTACAGGACCTTGGCTGTGGCCTTCTTCGGGGCGGGGGGCCCCGCGGGCGGAGGAGGTGGGGGGGCTCGTACTGATCCGGATGATGCAGTGCGGGCATGCGACGCGGCGGCTACGGCGGCCACAGGCTGCGGCACCGGGCGGGCCTGGGCGGCAGGTTGAGGCGCTGGCGGGGGAGGTTGCACGGCTGCTGCTGCTGCTGGCTGCTGAGGTAGGGGCTGGCGCGCCGGGGCGGGTCGCGACGCCAGCTTCGACGGGCCACCGCCCGGTCCGCCAGGCCGCAGCAACTTGCCTGTCGTGACGGGTCGTGCGGCGACCTGCTTCGGGCGGGGGGTGGGCTTGGAGACTGAAGTGGCGGGCTCGCCGGCACTGGTGTGGATCGTGCTACTCTTGTAGCTGTCCACGTTTGACGATCCCGGATCCTTGACCACCTTCACGGTGGCCAGTTTGCCGGGTTTCTTGTTGTATTCGATGCTACACGGCGTCAGTAACTGCCATCATCGCAACTCGGGAAGTTACTTACTGGTCGGCGATCTTCAGGTTCAGCTGGCCGCGGAGCGCGTTGCTGAGATGGGTGAAGAATTCCGTCTTGAAAACGCAGTTCACCAGAGGATCGGGCTCCTGTCCGCCCACCACCAGAGAGAACCAGTCATCCCGGCAATTGGACGTGCTGACGGACTTGATAGCACCAATTGGTACCGTCGTCTCCGACGAGATCTGGAGCTGGTTGTTGACAAACGTTTGCGCTACAATATATACATGTCGGTTTGTCTGCTTTGGTTAGTCCACGCTCAGAAATCTGGGAGGTGCAACGTACCAAAACGAGAATGCGAGGTGAAGGCTTGCTGGACCGTCCGAACTTAGACACCAAAACCTCTCCACGACACGAGAAAAGAATATTCTCCGATCCTGTATTCGTCAGCCGAGTTCATGCCGAGTGCAAAGAGCACCACACATACCGCTAATGCCTGCACCGTTACGGATCATCTCCCCAGGTCCACCCTTGTTGCCGATCCCGACGTAATCGCCCAAGAACCGACGCGAGCCGAGCAGACTCATCCTCCGACGCTCTTTACGGCCCTGCAGCACCTGGTGACCCTGGTCACGCAGCTTGATGAACTCAAGCCCACCGGTCATCCGACGCCAGAAGCGCTGGATGCGAATAGCGCACTCGGTCCGGTAGCGCAGGTAATTGCGCCAAGCGCGCTGGATCCGGATCGCCATGTTGTGCCAGTAGCGGTCGCGCATGGCCTCCAGCGCGAACAATGTCTCCGGAGTCTTGACGAAGACCTTGGTGATACCCATCTGGTACTCTTCGGTGGGAATGCTGGTATCCTTCAGTATCTGACGAGCACCAGACTCGGCATCGCCTGTCCACGTGTAGTCCCCAGCGTACGATGTCTTGGGCGACAAAAGGTAGAACCGCTCCACGAATTTGTCAAAGGTTTGACGGTAGGCGAAACCTGCACGACGAATCCGAACATTCTCCTGCAATCCCAGATATTTGATCTGATGCAGAACATTGCCCACATTATACTCCCTGGGAGCCTTGTTATCGTTCGGCTTGATGGTGCGGATGTACGACGGCTGGGCCTTCATAAGAGTTGCCACGAGGTCGTTAGCAGAAGCCTTGATCTTGTCGCTTGCAGTCGGTGGACGTCTCTTGTCGTCCTGGTTGACCTGGTTGGGGAACAATGTGTGGACGAACTGGTTGCCACTGGAACCCACAAGGTTCAACAGATCCTTGAGCAATTGATCCTTGTTCTTGTCGGTCATTCCTTCCACAGCGTAGCTGACATCACCCGCGTAGTGCTTAACAATAAATTGACCTTGGCGGCTCTCAAAGTTCGGGTTCTGACCCAAGAAGTTGAGTCTTCCAACAAAGGTGTTGTCCGCCGCGCTCGAATCGGCGTGTGCGGTAGCGCAAGCGTCGTTGAGCGCAGCAAAGACACCGGGGGGGCGCTTGTCTTCGATCAGCGAACACACGACCTTGTTGTCGAAGTACTTGATCGGAGTCCATTGAATCTGCTCGCGCGCATATTCATCCTGCTCCGCCTTCAAGGTCAACTGAATGAAAATCTGCTGCAGCTTTTCGTTGACGTAGTTGATGCACAGCTGTTCGAACGAGTTCTTCTCGAAAATCTCGAACCCATAAATATCCAAGATACCGATCGAGTTGGTGATCGCACCTCGGGCGGTCAGCGACGAGTTGACACGTCCCACGATCCAGTCAAACAAGTTGAAGTAGATGGCCTTGGCCAATGCGTCGCGGACAGCCACGGCTTGTACCGTGTTCAAGGGGACCTCGTAGACCGACCCTCTGCGGCCGCCACGGGCAGTCTCCATCAGACGGATAGTGAGCGCCTTGTTGACCTGGGCAGCATCAACCTCTAGCAGATATGCGACGAAATCGACAACCGACTGATCCGTAATGGCGGCATTTCCTGCATCATCTTCGGTGAATGTGACGTTTCCGATCCACAGAATGGCAGCCAACATCCGGAACACGTTGTCTTGTTCGGGTTCGCTCATACCGATGACACCCATTGCGTTCAAAGTATCCCGGAACTCCGCCGCATCATCGACCCCTGGCACATCGAAACACTTCGAGCGACTCGTGTATACGTAGGACTGGGGTTGTTGTACACCGAAATTGTCTACCCAATATGTCAGCGGCGTGCCACCCGATTCCTCCCCACTGCAACATACCTCTGTATTTTTGCGGCGCAGCTTTGGTGAACTGGTAGAAGATGTGGAAATTTCGCTCATTGGTGATCTGACCCACAACTCTCGATTTCTCCAGCAAGTAGTTCGTAATGTTGGCACCCACGGGCTCTCCCTGGGCGTTGAATTCCAACTCCAAGTACTTTCCGAAACGCGACGAGTTGTTGTTGCGCAGAGTCTTTGCATTACCAAAAGATTCCAGTAACGGGTTAGTGGCCAAAACCATGTCTTTCGTCTGCTGGATCGACGAGTCGGTCCCCCCCGATACGTTGGCGATGTACTGCATCAGGCGCTTAGCCGCCTCCGTCTTTCCGGCACCCGACTCTCCCGAAATAATCACACATTGGTTATCCTTGTATGACTTCATGTTGTAGTAGGCGGATTCGGCGACGGCGAACACATGGGGCGGGACTTCGAGTCGGTTCTTGCTCCGGTAGGAGTCGAGCACCTGATCGGTATAAATCCCCACTATGCGGAAAGGGTCAGGCACGCGACCGGCGGGGGCGGGGAGGGTAGGTTTCAGGGGCAACGGCACTTACAGTCGCGGAAAGGGTTGACGGACACCAACACATGTCCGATATAAGTCTATTTGAGCATTGAGACGCATGGTTAGTGAGACATACTCGCAGCGCTTAGCTGTGCGACTGGGCTGGGGGAGGGGGAGGGGGAGGGGAAGTGGTGGCCGGCTTACGTAGATTTCATCGTGTTCGAAGCGGAGCTTCAGGTTATCGTTGATCGCCTCATTTGAGATCTTACTGAGGAGAGTGAGATCGGATACCCCAATTTCCTTCTTCTTTGTGCTCTCGAAGGTGGCCTTCTTGACCTGCGGCTTGCCCGCTTGTCGTCCGTCGCCCACATCCGCCGCCTTGGAGCGACCGAACCTCTTCTTCTCCCCGCCGGCCGGACGTCGCGAGTGTCCCTAATGGAGGATCGGAGTTAGCGTAGTTCGAATGAATGGTAATGCGAGGATGTTCGTCGGTGATAGATAGCTGGGGGCATCCGACTCACCATACTTGTTGTGAGTTTTGTGAGTTCCGATCAGCCCGGAACTTGCGCCCAAGCGTCAAGATATCTGTCCTATCAGTGCGGAAGGTGGTATAGAGTGTATCGTGTTTGGGAGTGAATCAGGAATGAACGCAATGAGGGGGGTGGTTCATTCCATAGATTCAAGGAGAGATAATTGTCAAGAGTAGATCTAGAAGATAGGAGAGAAGGGAAGGGGGAAAAGAAAGAGGGTCTATACGGAGGGGAGGGAGGAAGGAAGAATGACGAATGGTGCCTGTGTGGAGGAGGAGGAGGAGGAGGAGATGACTGACTGCGGACCGTCGAGGACGGACTAACTAGTTGATGGGCGGTTCCTCGCTGCCGATGGGGCCTGCGCCACACTAGGATTAGTTGGATTGGAACAGTTCAGTTAACTTTTCTCTCGGGGCCTTTCTTACTCAGCCGAATACGCGCAATCAATCTCCAACTACGGATTCATTCCCTCTCTCTGTCTGTCTTGGACAACAAACCGTCCTTCCGGGATGTGGATTCTGCCTAGAGGCAAATCGCACATCGCACATCGCAAACCGCTTGCCTCGGACCCTGACGCTAAACTCTCCCATCTTGTCTCCTTCCTGGGTCATGGAATTAATTGGGATTATTCAAGGATACAGCTGCGATAGCCCAAATCACATCTACTCAGTATATGTGGCTGGAAGTATTTTTGTTTTCCTGCCCAAGTGCGGGATTGCTTCCCCCTCACTACGTCACGCCTGCAGCCCGTCTCACCTCGCCGTTCTAGCCAGTATCTGGGACTTTTCTCTACCCATTGGCAATGCCCGATAAGGAGTCAGAAAGGGTCAATTCCTTGTAAATTGCCAGTCCGATTCACGAAGTGTATTCACCATCACCATTGGAACACAGTCCTTCGGCCCACCCTGACCATTGTCGGAGCAATCTCGCCGTGCCCCACTGCTCGGATATATCCCTCATCCTACCCCTGGATCAATAGTCGAGACATTGGGCCACCACAAGAGACTTGCACCATTCAGGGTTGTCTTTTGGAAAGAAGGGATGGACAGTACTTACACTCATAACAAGACCTAGTAGAAATCTGCCCAAAACACGAACTTCAGCCGACTGCGGGTTGCGTAGTCTTTTAGACAACAACATTCCTCTGCTCCGTACCCTGGATGACATTCAATGCAAGTGGAGCCGTCGTCCACGGCCAACGTCATATACCCTGCAACGGTGCAGGGCTCGCACGTGGACCAGGCACATCTTGGAGATTGCTGATGTATTCCTGGATAGAGGACAGGAGGCATGAAGCGTCTGCAATCGGGATGATGGGCAGTATCGCGGGGAGGGATTCGAACATTCTATCCATATATATAATCAGATTCATGGTGAGGTTCCGGTGCGAGGAGGATCAATCACAGTATTTCCAGTGCCACAAATCCATTGAGACTGGATACACCGCTTGCGCTGATGAACGATGAATCTGACAGCAGATAAGCTACGGCAATTCTTCGAGAGCAGCGATCTCTGTGCTCTGCGAGATGACACAAGCGATATAGAGTGTCCTGCCGATTGCACGGTTCAAGGGATGTAGGAGCTAGAAGAAGGATTGCGAGAGACCCTGAACTGTGTCGCAATGGGAAACGGAAATCTATGTCTCGTAGTGTGGAGTCTGATCTCAATCTCAATCAGTTGCTGAACCGTCATTGATGATGGTAGCAGACCTCTCATAACCGTCGATGTTGACAATATCGGCCCTATGACTTTCCATATGGGCTGCTCGCGGAGAGAGGAGCTGAAAATCCCTTGCATGCCGGTAGAACTGTCCATTATTCGAGAGTGGTCGTCAGACATAAATGAGTGAGTACTAGTAGTGTGATTGCATCAGAGAGGAGTTGATTAAGTCTAGGCGGGATATCATCCCGCTTCTATATATCTAGAACCAGCACCACTCCGACATTCTTCCTCCCACGCGGTAATATACAAAGGGTATCCAGAAGCATCAACAAACCATGTACTCTCCCCAATATATCTCCCCAAATTCTATCTCAGTATATATACAGAACCGGCATCAAGACCATTAGGCGCCCACTAAGCCTTCTTTGGCTCTGCTGCATTCCCATCACGGCTCACCGGAGTGATCAATGCCCCTGTCGCAGGCCGCTGCGCATCACTGGTCAACGTCGTGCTGACACTCTTGCTCTCATTGATCACCGCTTCAGCTCGCTGTTCCAAGCTCTCTCCGAACGAGAATAACGATGCAACACGGGTAAGCAATCCTGGAGTCTCGACCTCCTCAGCCGTCTCCTCCGGCTCTTCCCACACCCAGCGCGGCAGGATGCGCTTCGAAGACTTGGACAGCTCCCCATGCTTCGCCTTCAGCTGTAGCAACTCCTTCTCCAGCGCAATCAGCGCCTCCCGCGTCGCCTTCTCCGTCTGCTCCAGCTCCGCCAGCCGGCTCTCCACGTCCTCCCGGCGCGTTGTCTCCTTCCGGCGCGACCGCCACGATTCAAACACGATCAAGCCGCCCGCCACCAGGAACAGGAACGTTTCACTGATGAACGTCGCACCGGATTCGATGGCCTTGGACTCTGACAGCGGCCGGATGTGAGGCTTGGGCGCCGGTTTGGCCGCCTCCTGGACCTTGGCGAGGGCCGCCTCTTCCGCCTTGGTCTCGGCCTCGGTCTTGGCCGTCGGGGAGGTGGGTTTGAGCTTGCGAAGCTCGGCCTCGGCCGCCGCCCGTTTCTGCGATGCGGCCGTGTCGCGCAGGCTGCCTAGGCGGAGGCGCATGTCGATGCGGTGCAGCCCCTGCGCCATGGAGACGCAGATCCGGCGGAAGCGTTCATGTTCGCGAGCCTGTGCTTTGAGTTGGTTCTTCGCAGGTAGTCAGTTAAGTAGTCATTCAGTCGGGGATAGGTCGGCGAGGCGGAGTCAGTTGGGGAGAGGAGCTCACGGCGATCGGCTTCGAGAGTGTGCGGATGACCAGGGAGGAGAGTTTGAGAGTGAGAGACATGATGAAAATAAATTAGGAAAGAAGGATTAGAGAGAGTCAAAGAGGTTGGTATGAATAGAATCCATGCAGGGTGTTGTTAATGAGGTGTGGCTTGGAGATCTTCATGCATTGCGGCTGGCTTTCGTCGTGGATGGGTCACATATTGGTGGAAATCAGTCTGGATTATCAGGCATCGACAAGCATGTGCCCGCACTTCAGTAAGCATTACTCAAGTAAGTTAGTGGGTAGTGGTGCATAATTGCCGAGACAATACCTGCTGATGTCAGCAATGTGGCCGTTGTTGCGGCAGTCGGATCAATGTTTATCGATTGCCGTTTCGGGTAATCCGTTTGGCAACTGAGCTGAGACTGAGCCCAGCCGGCCGGGGGAACTTTCTCCTTGGTCTTTACTTACTTATCCCTACCGGACACCTGCTGAACCGCCGCCCCCACCTCCCCCCCCCCTCAAACACAAAAACTCTTTGGGTTGTGCGGCGTTACATGCATGGCTTTGTGTTTTTGAGCGTCATTATCATTGTTTCATAATTTTGTTGATTCCCGGTAGGTCTTCTTGTTGACCCAGAGACTTTGCCGACCTTGTGCTCTGCTTGTCGGTGGTTCTACCGCTGCTGTCTTGAAAGAGTCCCTCGACCCGTTGATCAATGAACCGGCGTTGAAGCACTCCGAGTGGCGACGCGCATATCATCTTATCGCTTCACGTTACTAACCCTCTACTAAGATACTCAGGCATCAATCGATTCACTATACCCCCCTATTGTCCCACTCACCCCTCCTCGACTAGTCCGACCGCCCCATCTGATGTTCGCTACGCCCGACTTACTTGCCCGAAGCTGCTGGTCTGTCTCTGGTCGCAAGCATTGATACCCAACTATAAGACGCGACGTCGTGTGAGTGCAACATGTTGGACGCATTGTCACCGCGATCCACCAACCAAGTGATCAGACCCAAGGTGTCGATGGAGCGGAAAGTGCTGGATAAGAACGCTGCCGCCGCCGCCGCCGCCGCCGCTCAGAAATCCTCGTCGTCGAAGAATCATGCGCCACCACCGCCGTCGTTAGTCGTTGAGCCCGAGGAGGATGGAGAGCAATACTCGACTGGTGCGTTCCTGGGCAAGGGAGGCTTCGCGATTTGTTATGAGGGAACCCTGCTGCGCAATGGCCGCGTCTTCGCTATGAAAGTAGTCCGGTCTGAGATGGCCCAGAAGAAGATGCAAGAGAAGGTATGGCATTAAACGCGTGCTTCACGGTCGAATGGCGACTGACAAGGTCGCGCAGTTTCGAACAGAGCTTCAGATTCATTCGAAAATGCGCCACCCCCATATCGTCGAGTTTCATCGCGCCTTCGCCTTCGACAGCTGTATATATGTCATCCTGGAACTATGCCCCAATGGATCGGTCATGGATATGGTCCGGAAGAGGAAATGCTTGAGTCTACCCGAGGTCCGACGGTTTATGGTCCAGCTTTGCGGTGCGGTGAAATATCTGCACAAGCGCAATGTCGCACACCGGGACTTGAAGATGGGCAACCTCTTTCTGGACAAGAACATGGACATCAAGGTCGGCGACTTTGGCCTGGCGGCGATGATCGTATCAGAGAAGGACGAAAAGCGAAGGAGAACACTATGCGGTACACCAAACTATATTGCGCCGGAGGTTCTGGATCGGAGCAAGGGTGGACACACCCAGAAGGTGGATATCTGGTCATTGGGTGTTATTTGGTAAGGATCCTGAACTACGTTGAACAACCCCCAGGCTAAGTGTGCGCAGCTTTGCTATGCTTACAGGTTACCCACCGTTTCAATCTAAAACGCAAGAAGAGATATACAAGAAAGTTCGAAACCTGACATATGTCTGGCCCAAGGGGGCTGAGTGCGCCAACCACATTCCCGAAGAGGCCAAGACCCTCGTGAGCTCGTGTCTCAATCTGTCAGAAGATGAACGCCCCGAACCGGATGACCTGGTTGAGCATCCATTTTTCAGCATGTACGAAGGCTGCATACCGAAACGTCTAGATCCGAGAAGCTGTCTCAACAAGCCTGTCTGGTTGAGACCGGACGAGCCTCGTGGCGATCACATGATGATGGGTTATAGTTTGGAGTACGACGACAAGCTTTCTGGATATATAGAACACGTGGACGACCCAAGTCAGCGATATGCCATATGTAGAGCTGCCTTCTACACGCTATGCGGAGTGGGCCGAAAACCGGATGGCTCTGCGCGCAAGGCTGCGGGCAGGAATTGCGCGAAGTCTGCTTATGCTGAGTGTCTGATTGAGGAGGAAAGAGGTTTCCAGCCGGTCATTCCGTTGCCGGAAGACATTGTGTACAAATATCCCAATGTTCCAGACGGGGATTGGAGTGTCCCGGTATCTGCTCTCATGGCCCGAAAGGATGGTTCCTCATTCGACGACAGTGTGCTCTCCAGGAAAAGCAGTGGATCTGTACGTGCTAATGCAGCTTCACTTACCCGCACTCAAGCAGCACTGGCCGCTGCCCAGCAGCGACGGAAGGAATCTCAGAGCCACGCGGCGACGCTCCGGCAGCAGGCTGCTACTGGCAGAGGATCTGTCCGGAAAATACCCGCGATCTGTGAACCTCCAGCTGCAGCAGCAGGGGCTGTCTCTGACGGAAGAGGTGCTGAGTCTCACGTTGCAGCTGCAGCGTCGATTCCCACGGGTGGACTGGCTGAACGCCCTATCCGAGCGCGGCGTGGCGTGGCGGCCTCCTATTCTGGCTCGTTGCGCGACTTGGATCGAAATGTTCCACCGCAAGCGTTGCCGAGCAATGGGCCCGGCATACTCACTATCGGCAAAACACGGTCACAGTCCCGTAGACTGGAGGCTGCTAGCCAAGAAAGCACACAGACGATGCCGGTTGTGAAAGAGCGCGTTGTGTCCGCAACAGCAGACAGCAAACCTGTGAAAGCACGCCAGCCATCACTCCGTTCAGCCCCAAAGGCGGAGCCCACTGAAGCACCAAAGCCAAGGTCAGAACCTAAGGAGTCCTCCAGTGAAGGCTCGACCGGGGAGCGAAAATCTGCGCGTTCCGAGACACAGTCTTCACAGTCGACCAACAGCTCTAGCAGCAGGGCAACCACCTCATCGGGTAGCAAGCCACGATCGACGCTAGGGGTTCATCCTCTCTTCCACTCGAGTGACCCCTGCGAGATACTTCCAAGGACATCGCTGGAAGACGTGAATGCCGACCTGAGACACATGCTAGCGAACATGATACCTCATTCCGCGGCTCGAAGGAGGGCAGGGCTGCGTAGAACGCCCCACTCATATGTCATCAAATGGGTTGATTACACCAATCGGTACGGCATCGGCTATGTGCTGGACGATGGCAGCGTTGGGTGTCTATTCAAGGCTGAGCACAGCCAGCAAGCGAGTGGCGTGGTGGTACGGGATGGCGAAAGACATATTCGCCGCAAAGCCCGTAGCCAGGAGGATGGGCACTACGTCTACCCGGAAGCTGATCAACTGATTCCACGACACGGGAAGCCGGTTGAATTCTACGAGAACTGTGATCTGCGCTTTTCCGAATGCCGCGGCGGGATTCGAAAAGCGTCCATTTCGCCGTCACTATTCGAGGTGAAGAGCTCCTCCAGTGGCTCGTCTGGTTCTGGGATCAAAGTCCGCACGAACTCGGGCATTGACTGTGCGCGTGCAGATGCGGAGAAGATCAAACGCGTCAAATTGGTTGATCAGTTTGGCAAGTACATGATCGGGTCTCTTGGTCGACATGGCGACGAAACCCTTGTTGAAGATGAATTGGCCGTCGACAACCCAGGCCAGTTCATCAAGTTTTATCAGCGACTGGGCAACGTGGGCGTCTGGGGATTTGGAGACGGCGCATTCCAGGTAAGCACTTATCACTCGAGCGACCAAAGCCACGTATTGACAGCTTTTTAGTTCAACTTCCCCGACCACACCAAACTCGTCATCTCTCCGGGGCGCACGAGAAGTTCGTCACCGTGGGTTGACTTTTATCACCTTTCACCTTCGGCTGCGCGGTACCTGAGCGCCAAAGGAAGAATGCACCCCTCTGGGTTTGACACACGGGCTGTAGCGTCGGACGAAGTTTCGACGTTCCTCACCATCGCCTATGGCGGTAGTGCCAGTGCGGCGGACGACCGAATCCGCGATGTTCTTGACGCGAATTTATTCATGCAAAAGATCATCTTTATCAAGGAGGTCATGAAGGGTTGGATCAAGCAAGGGCGGCTAGGAGGGCGGCCGTCATCTTCTGAGGATCTCAGTGCGCTTGAAATCTTCTGGGAGGGCTCCCAGGAACGCGCCCACGCCGGCAGCAGCGGCAGCAAGTTTGTTTGGGTGACCGTCGGCGCGCCAGGCGGAGACGGAGAGTATCGGTCCATCTCCCTGAAGGATAAGAAGGGAGAGGGGGAGGTCGAAGAGGAGGTCGAAGCGCTACGGGAGCGTCTTCGGATGCTGGGAGTACCAACGTAGGCCTTGTCCAGGCCGTTTGCCATTGTTTACGATGTTACGAATGATTGTGCTCGCTTCTTTCTTTCCTTGTGTTATCGGGTCCAGGCTTGCATATCTACTGGCTGTTGCCGGTCTGCGTCTGTGGTTAGTCCATCTTTCTGAGCGGTGCTGTTATTGCATACATGAAGCTTCGGCTACGTATAATACTAGCATATAACATTGATCATCGAGTGTGCCTGGTAATCTGTAGATGTGTAAGATTGCCTGTCAGAGTAATGTCAAGCGTCGTCGACCTGTATGATTTCCTATGTATGTTCTTTCAGCACTATACATGGCACCTGAAACTCATCGCTTGCACACCCTTTCAGCCAAATCCACAGCGCTCCCAGCATTACCGACACTCCAAAGCGAAGATCTTCACTTCAGCAACCTTCTCTGCTCATCCTCCAAGATCTCCGGCAGCGTCGCCTCCAGACTCGGCCGCGCAGGCGTCCACCCCAGCACCTTAGCCGCCCTCTTCGCCCTCCCGCGCGAGTTCAACCCCCAGCTCAGCGACTCAAACCCGGCGAACTTCTTCCCATCCTCCAAGCTAATCTGCTCGGCCCTCGACTGCCCGATGAATCCCAGCTCGGCCGCATACTTGGCCACCGCCCGCGACAGCTCGCCCCAGACATGCTCGCCGTTCTCGGCGAGGTAGTAGGCGCGCGCGCCCCAGCGTTCGTTCTCTTCGTTGTCGTCGTTTTGACGACCCTCCCGTTCGGCCACGGCCGCCTCGACCAGCAAGACGTACAGATCGCTCAGATCGTGCACGTGCACGTTGTTCCAGATGGATTTGCCCGCGCCGATGATGGGGGCTTTCTGGAGCTCGAGCGTTACGCGCGCGAGCTCGTAGACTTGCCGGCCGCGGCGGGAGGAGGGGCCTCTTCCTCTTCCTGTCGGCATGGTCAACAAGAATTCCCAAACACACATTGATAATAAAGAGAAAGCTGAGGCTGCAAGGGGAGGGAAGGGAGTGAATACGTACCGTAGATGGTCGGTGGACACACCAACGCCGTCTTCACGACGTCCCCCCGCTTAGCCCCCGTCTCCAGCACGATCTCGTCCACGTTGCGGTGGAACGCATGCGCCGGCAGGTGCAGCAGCTCGTCCACCCCGTCCCAGTCGTCATACACCTTCTCGCTTGCCTCGCCGAACACGTCCCGGTCCGTGTCGGCGTACGTCAGGATTCCCGTGCCACCCGTGTGCAGCCAGTACCCCGGATTCTGTGGGGAGTGACCCTTGGCCAGGCCGGTGGCGATGGCGTTCGCTGCGCCGGCGTGGTCGGAGGCGTCTGCTGTGTCTGTTACATTGTCTTTGTTAGCTTCACTAAGAGGGGGGCGGGGGGTTTGTCTTAGCTATGAATATAGCATAGCAGACGGAAGCCCTAGGCTGGAGATAGCGATCGGGAATTGGGTTTGGACAAGCGTACGGAGAACAATATCGGCGTCAGCGCTCTCCTTCTCCAGCAGCTCGGAATTATCGAGGTCGCCGATGACGACCCGCGCCGAGGGGTATTGCTCCTGCACGGCCTGGGCCTTCTCGGCGCTGCGGACTAGCACCGTATACTGGTACTCGGGGTGTTTCTGGACAAGGGCGTAGAGGGCGTCGCCGCCGATGTAGCCGGTTGCGCCGGTGCTGGGGGAGTTGGTTAGTTGGATGGTAGCTGATGGGATGGGTAGACTTGCATGAAGATTTTGGGGATGTGCGTCATTTTGGGTGCTTTGTTGTATTCAGTGGTTGTGTTTGGGAGGCATGTCTGTCTCTATGGATGGTGCGAATGAGGCCTTGATATAGTATGTGAAAGAGATGATAGGCCCATGACGTGATGTTCTACAGTGCTGATTAATAATGCATCTCGAGGTTGAAGCCTGAGGCTTCCAGGTTGAGGTGTGTGGATGCCTGATACGGCAATCTCGGCCGATGGCGGTTACCGCCGACAACTGCCTGGGTTTAGATTCCGCATCGCATCGCATCGCATCTGCACCTCGCTTCATCTGGTCTGCTTGTGCTTCGACTCTGATTTGGACAACGACTCGGGACCTTAAGAGTGTGGACAGACATGTCTGCGCACGATGCTCATGCGATGGATCGCGTCTGCCCAACCAACACTTTAACGCACTTAAAGCTTTGGACTCACTTAAACTTGTGGGCCACTGCTCGACCACCATGGCACGACCCTCAAGCTCCACGGCTCACGAGCGTCGAGAGGCAACGCAACCTTCAGCATCTAGCAGATCTTGGCAACAGAGACAAGCATCGCCAGCCAATGGTGTTTCCGTCGTGCAGCAGCTCCTCCACTCGCTGCCCGATCCCTATTTGACAGCTGGGGCTACGTCCGAACCCCAGCTCCATCCGCTCGGGGGTGTGGGCCGTTTTTTGTGTCCGATCTCCGCTCGCGGGATGAAGTTTTACCCTCTTGACCGGAGCAATGTTGAGGAAATGTGCGTTTCTGCAGGGCAATGGTACTTATCTCTAAAGATTCCCTGCGTCTGACGATTGGAGGCAACGTGAGGAACACAAGAAGGGTCAATCGGCTGGCGAACTCCTCGGCGCTTTGGCTTGCCCTTGATAACGGGCTGCAAGAGACTGCTTGACCAATCCCTCAGAGTCACCATGAGCAGCAAGCCACAGATCTCCGCGGTCGAGTTTTACGTACTGGGCCGCAGATAAGGCATGCTTCGATATTGAAGGCCTGTGACTCGCCGGGCCCGGCTGCGGTCGACACCTGCCCCTCAGTCTACATAAAGCGGGGTGCTTTCCCCGTTTCCTTGTGCTCTGCTTGTCTCTTTGGTTAGTCAGAGCACGACAAAAATCGAACATGGCGACGGAACAGGTCCTGCCGGTGACTCGTGAGCGTAACATCGAGGCCCAGAGTGCCTTTGCCTCCACGCTGGTGGCCGATGTCGAGAAAGCACCGCACCCCAAGGAGTCTCCTTCGGATCGACCGCACACCAATGTCTACGGATCGACGATCGACACCCCGACTTCCCAGGCGGGAACGGACGCGGTCTATGCGGCCAAGGCGGCGCTCTTGAACCAGGCCTTGCTGGACATGGGCATGGGTCTGTACCAGTGGTTACTTTTTGTGATCACCAGTGTCGGATGGTTTCTGGACAGTGTAAGTTAGACATTGAACCATGGATGGAAAATCGTGAAGGGTACTGATGTTCTAGTTCTGGCTGATGTCGTTCTTCATCATCGCCCCGTCCGCTGCCAACGAGGCGCAATTCTTCTACTCGTACAACAAAGAGGCATACCTGTTTATCAGCTTGTTTGTTGGGATCACCACCGGTGCGACGGCCTGGCCTTGGATGTCCGACTTCCTCGGCCGCAAGTGGATCTTTACCAGCACTATCGTCCTCATGGGCATGGGAGGACTTGTGGGAGCTGGAATGCCCGCCTTCACGGGTCTTTGTGTGGTGGGGTTCGTGGTTGGCTTTGCGGTGGCGGGAAACCAAGTCGTGGATGCGATGATTCTGCTGGAGTCGGTTCCTGCCTCGCACCAGTTCTTGGTCACCATCCAAGGTGCCTTTTGGGGATTGGGACAGCTTGTGGCATCAGCGGTTGGCTGGTGAGTGTGCTTCTTTCTGGTGTGTAGACTAGTTTAACCGAGCATAGGGCGTTTGTCGCGGAGTACACATGCGGCACTGGCCCCGACGAAGTCAGCACGGCGACAGCACTCTCCCACCAGTCGCGCGCCACCCAATCCGGTACCAGCAGCAGCAGCAGCAGCAGCAGCAGCAGCAGCAGCAGCTCCTGCCACTATGTCAGCAACAAGGGCTGGCGCTACGTGTGGTGGACCTTCGGCTGCATGACGCTGTTCCTGTACCTCTGCCGCTTCACGTTCCCGCTCCGCGAGACACCGAAGTACCTGCTCTCGAAACGCCGGGACGCCGAAGCGACCCAGCTGGTCAAGGACATGGCCGCCTACAACAAGCGGCGCACGTGGCTCGACGAGTCGTCGTTCGCGCGCATCGACTCGACCGTGGACGCCCGCACGCCCGGGTCGCGTCGGCAATCGCGCCTCAAAGCCCTGGTGTCGTCCGCCGGCCCTCTGGGTTTCGCTGCGCTGTGCCTCCTCTGGTCCGTCACCGGCCTGACCTTCATTCTCCACAAGACCTACATCAGCACGTACCTCGCCACTAAAGGCGTGGCCTCCGTCACCGCCACTACCGTGACCACGGAGTATCTCTACAGCCGGTACCTGTACGTGGCCATCTGCGCCATCCCCGGCCCGATCCTCGCCGGCTTCCTGATCGAGGCCACGGGTCTCGGACGTAAGCGCACGGGGGCTAGCATTGCGGTCCTGACGGGTCTGTTCATGCTCCTGGCGACGGTGTCTCGCTCCCGCGACGCGCTCTTGGCGTTCGAGTGCATCCTCTCGTTCCTGGGGGCGGCCAACCTGGCGGTGCTCACCACGTACACGGTGGAGCTGTTCGCCGCGCCCTTCCGTGGTTTCGGTCTGGGCGTGATGGGTTTCCTGGGTGGGTTGTTTGGGCTGATTGCGTCGGTCGTGACGACGTTCGAGAGCGGTGCTGCCGGCGGCGCGGCGGTGTGGTTCTCCGGTGCGGTCTGGGTGGTGATGGGTGCGGCTTGGATGGGGGTGCCCGAGACCAAAGGTCGTGCTGCTGCGTAGGTGGGAGAGTAAGTTTAGGAAAGAAGAGTAAAAATGATAGGCGTTAGCTCATGACGATGGACGATGGACGATGGACGAAGGTTTATGAAGTATGAAGTATGAAATGAAGTATGTTCGCTGTATCAGTTTACCCTCCCGTAATCGAGCATCCCTACAACATATCCCACACTATGCAACACTCCAGCCATGATACACCCACAACCCACCCACTACCCCAACACCCCTTTAACAGAAAACAACCCCCCACACCCTTCAAACCCCTATAGAATAGAATCGAACCCAAGCCCACATGTGGAAACATCAAACCAACCCCCACCCCCACCCCCGGTTCCCCTCTCAACTCAATAAGACCTCTATCCCCGCCAAACCATAAACCAATTCCGCTCCCCGCCCTCCTCAACAACCACCTCCCCCTCCGACACCCTCACGAACCCATGCCTCACGTACAGCGACCGCCCCTCCCGCGACGCACACAGGTAGATCTGTCGCCCCTCGGCGCGGGCGCGCGCGATGCCCCACGCTAGCAGCCGGGATCCCAGTCCCTGGCCGCGGTAGGCGGGGTTGGTGCCCAGGATGCTTAGGTCTGTTCCTCGGTGGCCGTTAGTATGCGTTTGCCACCACGGGATAGAACACTGTTGGGGGTGCGTATACTCCCTAACCTGGGGGATTTCCCCGATGTAGGGCAGGGATATTATTCCCCATAGTCATAGTATAGTATAGAAAGAGAGGAGAAAGGGGAATGGGGAAAGGGCGGAGGGGATGGGGCAAACGTACAGTAGTACCCCCCCTCGACGCCGCGCATGTCCTGCTCGCGGTGATGGGTGGTTTGCGCGCGGAGGCGGTGCAGGAGGTCTGCGTCGGAGGGGGAGAGGTTGGGTGGGAGGGTGGGGGTGGAGTTGGGGTCTTTTGCGTCTGGGGTTTCCGGGGTGGGTCGAGGCAGGCTTTGGTCTTGACCTTGATCTGAGGCGGAAGACGCAGGCGCAGGGGTGATGGAGGAAGAAGGGAGCTCCCACTCCGCGAACGCGACGATTCTCCCTTTGCGTCTGCGTCTTCTACCCTCTTTCACCACGCCTGGATCCGCATCATCCCCAGATCCTAACCCAGGTTCGGCATCGGCTTCACCATCACTGCCACTCCCACTTTCGAGAGCGGAGCTATCACTTTCGCTTTCACTCCCCTCATCGATACCACTACCCGCACCCGCAGGAAGCGGCTCCGCGTCCACATCCACAACCTTCAGCACCACGCTCCGCCCGCTTGCGATCTTCCGGCGCAGGTTGGCGGTCCACCACGCGTGCATCTCCGGGGTCGGGGGGAAGACGCGCCGGTGGGCGGCGTTGGTGAAGCAGGTGAAGTACAGGGCGGCGAGGGCGGGGGCGTCGGATTCGGTGGCTGTTGCTGTGGTTATTGAAGGGGGGGTTTTGCTTTTGCTTAACATGTTTCGTTGTGGGTTGGTGTATGTTTAGGGTGTTGAGGGTGTCTGGTGTGGTTGGAGAAGCTTGGTTATCTCGAATGGGTTGAGAAGGGGCTGTGGTGATGGGTTGGCGGTCGGTGGGTGGTCATTGCGAATTTATACCTCGGTGTCCTCGTTGTCTGTAAAGGTAGGTAGGCGAGGCTAGGCACCAGTCTTGCTGTCACGCCAGTAGATGGTGTGTTGATAAGTACGCCTGCTAAGACAGCCTATACTCCGGTTTGTGCTGGGCTCACAATCCCCGGAGTGGATGCTCCTATCAGAGGGCAGAGTCAGCTCCGACGGCAAGGGACCAGTTCCGCGATCGGGGTACGCAGAATCGACTAGACTCGATCGGGGTCCCGTTCATACTTCAATCAATTCGATCGAAGGAAAGATGATTAGGATTAGATGATGCATACTCAAATTAGGACAAGTCATTACTATCAGTCATACTATGCATCATATTGCAACCAGCAGCCAGCAGCCAGCAGTCACCGCCACAATCACGTCACGGCTTCCCCTCCGTCGGCGCTGGACTCCGAACCCTCTCCACTACATACGGTTCACTGGGATGCGGCGAGTGTGGCTGCGGTGGGGGATACATCGGACCCTGTTGCCCTTGCTGTTGCTGCTGCATCTGATGCTGCACCTGCTGCGGTCTATGCTGCGGATAGAACATCCGGCGGTTCGGCCCCCCCTCGCGCGGCGCCGCCCGGTTCTCCGTGCTCTTCGTCTGGTCGATTTCGCGCTTCACCCCCTCGTACATGTACTCGATGATGTGGATCTCCTCCTGGATGTCCAGCTCGCAGCCACTTAGACACAGCTCGCGCTCGCGCTGCTCGATGTACTCGCGGATATTGCGCCACTCGTTCTGGTAATGTTTCAGCCGGTCGGGCAACCCCGAGCCCTTCAGGTAGGTGAGCACCCCCGCCATGATCGTGTTGATCGCCCCGAACGCCGTCACCGCCGAGTGCGGCCCGCTGGCGGCACCCAGCGCCGTCAGGGCCGCCGCCACCACGATCTGGATCCCCAGGCACACGTTGATCAGCACACTGAAAAACCGGTAGCGCCGCCCCGCCGAGTGCTCCGCCTTGACGACGCGCGTGTAGATGCCGATGTTGGGCGCCGTGCGGCGGTAGTGGTGCAGCGTCGTTAGCGCGGGGATGCTGTCGATCCCCGTCAACGCGCGGAAGACGAGCAATTTGTCCTGCGGCGGGATGAGGGAACCGATGTCGGTAGTGGAGATGGTCAGTTGGCGGGGTTGTTGTTGTTGTTGCTGCTGCTGTTGTTGCTGCTGTTGGTCATAGGGGTTGTGGTGTTGCTGTTGTGGTTGCTGTTGCGGTTGGTGGTAGGGTTGGTGGTATTGCTGTTGTGGCTGCTGCTGCTGCGGCGGCGACGGCGGCGGGGGGACAGGAGGTGGCATGGCGGCGGCACCCATTGCCTCCAAATCTCCGCCCGGCAGCATCCCAGGCGCCGTCGGGGGATAAGCCCCCGGTGAGGTCATGGGGGGAAAATGAGGCTGCTCATGTTGCTCACGTTGTGCGCGAGGCAAAAGATTCATGAAACGTCCAACAAAACCGGAGCGTGGATGTTGCGCCATGGTGGCGGGTGGAAAAGGGCGGGATGAACCTCCCGAAAAACACGAAAAACTCAAAGCCCTCGCTCCAGAGGGGGAGTCCGGCCCGTTTTAAGGAGCCTTTGGGGAAGGGTGGATATCCCCCCTTGGGAGGTTTAATTATTACACATCCAGGCCGGCGCACCTGATGGACGCCGCCACCCCTTTCTGCAAATGGCGCTACTCCCGGGGTGTTCGTGCGCATGGCAGTGCAAGATAGAGAAGCCGGCTGGCCCTTCATTGGTCCTGCAGCGTCGAGGCAATTTAAGCGGACGGCTGGACCCTTGACCCACATGGATCGACAAGCAGCAGTTCGGCACGAAATGAGGGGATTGCGTGCAGTTTTCGAGTCGAGCGCGCTCAGTTCGGTAGATTGGGCCCAATGTGAGCTACCTGTGATGTAAGGAGAGTTCTGAGTCAACAGCGTTGGTAGCGCTGCAGGATGTGATAGTGGCGAGCTGAACGTGTTCTTGACGCGAAGTTACGAAGTCTGCAGCGCAGTAGCGAGCGAAGCTGATTAGCCCGTCGACCACACGAGCATCACAATGAGTTTGTGGGGATTCAGGGTGAATTGGCAGATGACTCGCGATACGGACCTAGACTCGACAGTCTGGAGCAGGCTTCACGCTAGCAGGGATTTTTTCGGCCATGGCCGCCGTATCGATCCCTCCAAAGCGACGGTCACTGTCCGAGTCTCCAAGACAACGATCAGCCACGGGGCGGGCTGCAGCTCACGGCCCCATTCTGCAAGCACTAAGCTGAAGGAACCACGGATAGGCGCCTGTCAGATTGGAGGATGGGAGGTTCAAGCGATTCGAGGGAGTGAACTGTGCTTTCTGTGTCGATCATATTTTCCCAAACTGGTCATGATTCAACCAGGCTTTAAGCGACGTACTTCTGTCATGTTTGTTGTGGTGGTGGCATTATTGACCGGAAGTTGGCGGGACGGCACGTTTCGACACTGGGAGAATAAATTAATTGACTGACCCGCATCGATCGGCGATGGGAACTTGTGACTGACCGAGAAAGCAATTTCGTCGCAACGCCAGCATCTTCCATGATGCCACGGGGTAGATCAAGAGTAAAGTACAGAGACAGGGTAAGTGCGAGCGACCGAGCGGCGAAAGCAAACGAAGATAGCGATCAACAACAGCGATAAGAGAAAGAAAGACAGGCTTATCTCACCCGTTCCCCGCGCTTAGTCATCCGCGTCTTCGGCCTGTCACGCATCCCGAAAAGGAAAGCGTCGCAATTGCCGACGATAAGGGAAAAAAGCGCCAGAAAGCGAGTCAATGGCGCAATCTAAACCCCTCTCGTCGACTCCGGCATTGACGCTCGACACTTTCTGGATTGCTTCATGTCTGCAACCACCCACTCACAGCTCACAATGGGAGACGCACCGCTCACCCAGGACCGGATCCTGATCACCAACGCCAGCGACTTCGCCCCCGCTCTCCTCGAAGAGATCCAGGCCAAGTTCGCCCACGCGGATATCACTTATGTGAAGCTGGAGAACTTCACCCCGATTCCCAGCGGTATGTCTGTATGCTTGCTTGTCTCTTCGAGAGACCTCTTCGAGAGACCTTGTCTGCCATTGAGAGTTATTGTATAAGAACACTGACCCCCCGCAGAATACGCCAGAAGAGCCACCCACATCGTGACGTTCAGCAACCTCCCCAACGTCGAGGATGTGCCCAAGTACGTGACCCCAATCCCTTCCCTCCCTTTCACTTACTTCGATAATACCCAAGGAGGAAACGCTTCCAGCTGACGTGGAACAGCGTCAAGCTCATCCACTTCTTCTCCGCCGGCCTCGACCACATCATGACGCACCCGATCGTTCAGAACACCCGCATCCCGCTGACCTCCAGCTCGGGGATCCACGGGCCCCCGATCGCCGAGTGGGTGATCATGAACTGGCTCGTGGCCTCGCGGCGGTTCGTGAACATCCACAGGAGCCAGGAGCGACACCACTGGGGCAAGTACGGCGAGTGGATGAGCGGGGTCCACGACCAGGTGGGCCGGAAGGTCGGGATTCTGGGGTATGGGAGTATCGGGCGGCAGAGTAGGTTCCCTTGCCCCTTGCCCCCCGTTCCCCGCAAAATCATTCTACTGTAGCTGGGGGGTTGATTGCTAATGTGTGATGGATGAGGGGGATAGTCGGCCGCGTCGCCTCCGCCCTGGGCATGCAGGTCCACGCCTACACGGCCTCGCCGCGGCCAACGCCCGCCTCCCGCGTCGATAGGGGCTATATCGTGCCCGGCACAGGCGACCGCGACGGCACGATCCCCGTCTCCTGGCACCACGGCACGGATCGCGCCTCGATCCACGCCTTCCTCGCCCTGGGGCTGGACCACCTCGTCGTCGCGCTGCCGCTGACCCCGCAGACCACGCATCTGCTGGGCGCGGAGGAGTTCCGGCTGCTGGCGGAGCATTCGCGGGGAGGCAGCAAACCCTTTGTGACGAATATCGCCCGCGGCAAGATCGTCGACCAGACGGCGCTGGTGGCTGCGCTGCGCGAGGGTGTTCTCGGTGGCGCAGCGCTCGACGTCACGGATCCCGAACCCCTGCCCGCTGACGATCCGCTGTGGGATGCGCCTAACGTGCTGATCAGTCCGCATATCAGCGGGGCCGGGTTGGAGTATATCCCGCGGTCGTTGGATATCCTGAAGGAGAATCTGGGGCGGGTGGCGCGCGGGGAGGAGATTTTGAATGAGTATAAGCGCGGGAAGGGGTACTAACCCTTGCATTTCCCACAGAATTCAGATCCGCAGACAGAAACAAGGTTATACGAAAGATTCTTCCGTGTAAGTATTGGATTCAATTAAGATATAAACATAGATTACATGATCGTTGCCGTGGTACAGAGTACAGTGTACAGAGTATATCGCAGTAGACACAAACGAGAAAGAGCGCAAATCATTTGGTGAGCAAGCCGCGCAGGCCCTCCTCGACCACCACCCCGACGACGCCGAAGCCGACGACCGCCCACGTCCAGGGGTTGACGATCTCCTTGAAGCCGGGCCAGAAGCTGTTCTTCTTGCTCTTCCACTCCTGGAGCTGGTCGTACTTGTGCAGGTCCCCGGTCTTGTAGCGGTCCTCCTGGCTGGCCTCGGTCATCTTGTCGCCGCCGACGAAGCGCAGGAAGACGTAGTTGGTCAGCGGGCCCAGGATGACGAGCGGGTTGAAGTTAGTCGCGCAGTTGATGAAGGCGAAGCCCAGGTGCACGAGCGTGTCGCCGAGGTAGCTGCCGCGGAAGATGTTAGCTGAACCCTGCTTGAACTTTTCCGTAGGGATTGGGATGGGGACTGGGAGGCGGCAGGGAATCATACTTGGGATGTCTAACGATGCTCCACACGCCGGAGCGGCACAGATCCTGCCTTTCGGCGCGGTGCGCCTCCATCTGGCTGTCGGCGAGAACCTCGAGCGCGAACCCGGCGCCGAACAGCCCGACGCCGAAGGCGCGCAGCGCGGCCTGCACGTCCGCGTCCAGGGCGACGCTGGGGCTGGTCAGCCGGAAGGGCAGGGTGAAGGGCAAGCTGATCAGGGTGAGGAACGCGGCCTCGGGCAGGTACTGCTTCCAGAGCATCTCCTTCCAGAAGCCGACGGGGCTCTGCTTCTTGAGCTGCACGTAGCGGGCATCGTCGGCGCCGCGGCGGAGCGTGCGCGAGGCGATGCGCGCGAACAGCCGCGTGCCCCAGGCGGTCACGAGCGAGAGCAGTGTCTTGTCGGTCCAGGAAAGGGCGCGCCAGGCGGTTTGCGGGGAGACATTATTGTAAAAGACTTGGTGGCCGACGGCGCTCCACCACGCGTTGATCACCTGACTCGCCGGCCAGTTCCAGTCCTTCAGCTCGGCTTTGTCGGTCGCGCGCGAGGCTGCCCACGCCGCGAGGTCCAGGGTCGTGTGCAGCGCGAATGAGGGCAGGATGGTCGAGCGCAGGATGCCCAGCTCGCCTGTGGCGAGGCCGGGGCTGCGGAGACGGTCCGCCTGCGCGAGCGGCGAACCTGACCCCGTCAGATTCATGGTTGCGGTTGTGGTGGTTGTGATTAGAGATTTGGTCTGAGTGAAGAGAGAAAAGAATTCGTGTGAATCTTGGGGAAGGGATTGGTTATAAATGAAGTCTGGGGTAGGCTGTTGATGTCAGTATTATGTAACGTCGTGATGACGTCGTATTGTCACTTTCCTGCTCGTCCCGAATCGGCCAATGCCAGGGTTGGAGTTCGGCTCTAGCAACTTGGAAGCTTGGTTTATGCAGTAATTAAATGAAATAATTTCTATTGTAAATTATCGCGCGATATAAGCAGCCAGCTGCAAGGAAATGCGAAGCATGAGCTAGTTATGCATGTGTGACAATGCTGGTATAGGTGATGCTGTGTAAGTATGCTTGGCGGTCATTAGATCAGTGGGACGGAGATGAGAAATTGAAATGCAGCGGAAGAACGTTCGGTTGCGCTTCTCGATATCTCGCCTGTATCAATTCCGTTAGACGCTGGGTCCATAGATCAATTGGTGAGTCTGTCGCGAGAATATTCGACCTGTCAGAGCCAGTCACGGGATCCGTGAATACGGGTTCTGGGCTCATTCCTTTAGCCAGTTTCGACAGCTGCGAGACATCTGTCGATACTGTCACACCCGTATCATATAGTGCGTGTTCCTCTGGGATCCTCTCAAATGGCAGCTTGTTGGTGCTGATTCGCTTGGGTTTCGACGTCCCGTCCGAGGTCGCGTTCTGCGCGCGGTAGCGTATGAGATATGACCTTGGATCATGTGGCGACAGCACGGGTCTGTTCGTCTGCTCCAGCTCGACCAGATCCTGAGGGTGGCTGATTGCTGTATCGGAGGTGAGAGCAGCTCGCGCATTGAGGTATCGGTTCAGGTGCGGTGAGCGGGGGGTAGACGCGGCGTGACTACTCTGGAGCTGTTTCCGTCGCTCCTGTATAGCATCGCGCTTCCGGCGTTCGAAGTCTAGCGCTTTCTCAAGTTCGTTTTGACTGTCTCTGGACAGTTGATGAAGCCTCGAGGACCATCGTTCGAGGACCGGAAGTCCGCGGTGATTGCCTTGGATTTCCGCGTCTTCGATTGCTGATGGGGAGCGGTCCAGGACCTGCGACATCGCTGCGGCCGACGGGGGGCTGTCAGGTACATCGTCGGCTGGGGTTTGTGGTTCCTGGAAGGTTGCATTGGATGCTTCGAATCGCTGGGCTGCTAATTTAGCCAAAGAAGGCTCCTCTGATTCCTCGCGCGGCTGCCCTGAGGCCTCCAATCGCGACATTGCCACTTGCGTAGTCTTTGTAAACCAGGTGTCAAGCGATCCATTTCCGTAACGCTCTCTGTCGCGCTCCCGCAGTGCACGTTTTACACTTTCGTGAGTGTTGTGCTCCGGGGGACTGTGTGAAGGCTGCAGTCTAATGGGGGAGATCTGCGTTCGTGCCGGAGAGATGGCCAGCGTGCTCGTGCTCGATGCGGACGGGCTTGGAAGAAGCGACTTTGGTGAAGGAGCAGGTCGCGACCCTAATGAGTCCCTACGACTCTCTGCAACGTCGTCGTCGATGACTTCGTAGGTTGACTGAGTTTGTGGCAAGATCCTGGCAGAGCCGCTGGATACATTCATCTTTGTGAAAGACCACGGGTTCAGCGCTTCCAGACGCTTTCGCCTTAGGTTGTTGACATCGGACGTATGGGATGCATCGGTAGACGGTGGCGGGGCCTTCAGCATCGATTGTGCTGTCACGAACCCCGGCGAATGACTGCTTGTTGTACTCTGCGTAGCCTCGATCGGGTCCTTGCGAGCCAAAAGCAAGTCAAACCCGTTCGACTCTCTGACTGGCGCCTTTCCTTTTTGTAAAGAGCGTGGCTGCTCGGCGGGTTCGGGTTGTGCTCCGTATATGCCGCGAAGCAAGGCTTCCACCGCGGAAAGCAGCTCTTGCGGGTTTTCGAGCAAGACATCATCCTTCGCAGGCTCAATGTTGACATCATACGTCGCTTCCTGGCAGCGGATATGCAGACACAGAAACGGGTCGGTGATGTTCGATTGGCCCTGCTGATGACTCGCTGCGTGTTTTATATAAGACTTGAACAACTTCGCAATGTCTTGACCGAGACCCCTCGCAGCCGACAGAGGTCTACCGTCAATGCTTATGTACTGACCCGAGTTGCTGGCTCGCGCAATATCTGCCAAAGTTAGTCGAACTCAAAAAAGGCCCTACGGAGCGCATACCGAGCTCTGGGTCTGGGAGAAGCGCTGTCAAGTGATAGTGCAGTTCACTCTCTTTCTCTGCGCCACCGGGAGAGTCATCTCCCCATTTCGTTACCAGACAGTTCGAGGCAACGTCCTTACCCACCACCTTGAAGGCGGCGTCCGAGAGAGTCGCATCCTTGCCTGGCGCGTACATCCAGTTGTTACTCTCGTTCTTCGCCCTCAGGACTTTGAGGGACAGTCGCTTCGCAGGCTGCGCCAAGGCATAGGCCTGGACCAGCGTCTTGATGCGGCCCAGCGTCTTGGCGGCGTTCTTCGAGGCCGTCTGCCGGCGCACGGGGATGTGCTTGGAGAGATCCGCGATGCGAACGGTCGTTCCCACCGGGTGCGCCGCGCGCTGCGTGCTGCGGGCGGATTTTCAGTATTCGTGTGCCTCGATACGAAGTTCGACGTACTTACCTTATCAGTTCCCCGTCTCGACCATACTTGAGCACGTAGCCGACCGACTCACTCTCAACCCTGGTGGTTATGACCACGCTGCTGGAGACCTCGGCAGCACTGGCGAGCGCTTCGCCGCGGAAGCCCAGCCATGTTCCTCCGACATGTCGGAGATCGTCCACGGTCTGGATTTTACTAGTGAAGGAGCTTCTGCAGACGAGTGGGTGGTCTTCGCATGGGATGCCGGTCCCGTTGTCCTTGACTTGCACTACGTCAACGGTATTCTGCGAGATCTCGATGGTCACCGAAGTAGCCGATGCGTCGAGGGCGTTGTCCAACAGCTCCTTGACAATTGAGCAGGGGTCGGAGATGACGGACGCCGAGCCGATTGCCCGTGCGGTTGTTGGTGGGAGCGCCGCGATTGGCATCTCTCTTGTACTCGAACAGGTTAGGGGGTCATTCTGGTAAAGTCTTTAAAGTATATGGGGGTAATTGAACAGATGCGAGGTATATAGAAGACACGATGGTTCTGATGCAGTTGGTATGATGGTCTATTGTTCAAGTTGTTCGAAGGCGGACAGAAGATGCTCGGTATCTCCACGCACACTAATCCCCATCGGGTCAGATTCGCTTAGTCAGTCTCCCAATGCTTCGCTACGAAAAGTCCATGGGTTGTGTGATCGACAGCATCCCTCTTCACAGTGCTTTTTCTCCATGGCTGGTTTCAGGGCGATAGTATTGAGTAGGAGCTTCTCAAAGTCAGTGCACTAAGTGTCTGGCAAACATTGGATTTGCGGCCCGAAATCGGAGCTCCCAAGCTACGAGTTCGCAAGTCCGTCACAACCATCGGCTCTGTCTCGGCAGAACGTAGATGGTCTACAATACGGGGCTGGGAAAGAGGAAGATTGTTCGCCGAAGTCTTTCACTCTTCAAGATCTTGTTGAGTGTCAATCGATTCACATAAATCTCAACTCCTTGAGAAAATCTTACACAATCTGAAAACCCAATGGTACATTGTGTAATCCGAGCATTCGTATTCTTGCAAAAATCCGACGTGTTGCGCCGAGAAAATCAACACATAACAACCACTTTTACATACAGCGAGTATAAACCAGAGAATCGGAAACATTACCCAGACGCTTGTGATCATCGCAAGCGACCTGCCAGCAGAGAAGTTCTGGCCGTCAATCATCCTCAGTCACAAATTGTCCAACTGCACCGTAATAACTATCGATACAATAAAAGTCGTGAGAATGATCTAAAGTTCCCAATCATCATATCAGTACCACAATCTGCCAAAAGTTTAGTTTGGGGTGGACTCACCAAGCCGATGAGTATCCCAATCAGATTCAGCTCCCACCCCCCGGCGTACACGGTGCCCAAGGCGACCATATTCTGCTGCTTCCAGAAGCGATACGCGCCCAGGGAAGCGATGAGGATGGCCGCCCCGTAGCAGGTCACGGAGAGCGGCACGCCGACCTCGTAGAACCCCAGCGCCAGATCCGGGGACGCCATGTGCTGGAGGCGGAACAATTGCGCGATCAGCACGCCCTGCATGGCGACCATAACCGAGGTGCGGATATACGCCAAGAAGGTTCGTTCCAATGCTGGTCCAGGATTCCAGATTAGTCGCGTGTGCATCACAATGTTTTACTTGAATGACTGATTGACGGGAATTGGCTATTTGCTGGAGCGTGGGTTGGTGCTGGTGGTGCCATCGCCATGTGGGATTCCGTCATTTTAGCGCGGCGATCATTGAATACGGAGGATTCCATATAACTCCCACAAGCCCAGATAGCTGTACAGTACCAAAGGAACCGAGGAAGAATGCTCTGCTACTCACCAAAATGATCCCGATTACTCCGTTGTGGCACAGTCAGCACCACATGCCGCGTCCAGAAGCGTTCGAGACGCCCCCATGGCCCCTTGCGTGACTCCCGACTGCGCTGAGTGGCCTGGGAGACCGTTCGGAGCGTCCTCACGCGGTATTCCCCGGAGGATATCGAGTCAGTGGAAAAGCCGGCCTCGTCCACGTCTTGGGTCGAAACGTTGCGCAATTCGAATGCATCGCGGTCGCTGTCGTCGTCGCTATGGCTCTCGCGATGGTGTTCGGCCGTGTTGACCGCCGTTTCAGTTGGGGGGGTTTCATTTTCCTCCCGACCTACCACGGTGTGGGAGTGGTTATCTTCGACTTGGGGCTCGCGGACTTGGGCCATTGTGAATGAAGTCTAACGGGATCTGTACGACATGGCCGAGAATTCAGCCAGGGTTGCGTGGGTGAGAAGGGTTCTGCATTATCTGACCACGACGGAGCTCAGAGAGACTCCCGGTCGGAGGGATGATGATGATTGATGGATGATGTGTCACCCAGCCCGGCCTCCCCTCCGATTCCCCGCGTTTTGGCCAAAGCCGGATTTCTTATCTGGGATTTCCCACTCTTATCGTCCGTCACTCATCCATGGTACGTACAGCTACTGCTTAGATGGTGGATCTGGGTTCAATTCTGGTTCCCTGCCCCTGCGCACCCAATTGCTACTCTACAACTTCAATCAACTCAACATAAGCACTATCACAAATGAACCTTCGCCCACGCCTCCTGTTTCTCCTCAAACACCGCCAGACTCGGCGGAGCGATGCTCTCGAACAGCGGCGCCTTCAGGAACGCCTTCCCGGGCTTTCCAGGCGTGAGCGTATACAAAGGGCTATGTTAGATTAGCATGGCTGTGGCTCGCTCCTGTCGATCGTCGCAAGGGTCGACCTACCTCCCACAGTGTGAGCAGAAATGACGCTGCAATCCCGGCATTAGCATCAGCCATGTCAGCCCCTCTCTCCCGCACACACAAAAGAGCAGGTCAACGAAGACATACCGAGATCTTGTGCCCAGAGCGAGTGTTCGGATCCTGATAAACCTTCTTCGCCCCATTGGGATCCTCCACGGTCATGCTATTTTCATCAACGAGATAATTGACCGAGAAGACTTGCAGCAGTCAAGTCAGCACCGGGTTAGCACCGAACACGCAGGCAAGAAGGCAGAAATGCCACGGCAGCTACGCTTTAGGAAAAACTCACGTCCTCCCCCGGCTTTTCTGCAGTTCGTGCTATGCGGCGCGGATCGTTAGCGATACGTACACCCCCCTCTAGTTAGACAGCTCCCTACCAGTGACATAGCACGGAGTTGGCAGGCTGTTGGGGCAAGGTGATGCGCACACTCGCACAGTTGCACTGACCAATATAAGGCATTTCGACAGCGGTTGCAATTCGAGGCCCGTTAACGTTGCTGGAGAAAGTGGAGTTAGCCGGAAGACAAGACTTTATAGGTGCCTCCCCAATCTGCGGCGAGTTATCTGTTGTGGTGGTGTGCGACGGTTTGTTTCGATGGTGGGGACTGCCTCGACTTTCGGCTCATTTCCCTGATGAGGATTTATAAGCGCAAGTCGAAGCACGGGTGCATCTGTGATCTGAGACTCGATGGTTTGGTGTATTCCGCTGGTCGGCCCATATTGGGTGATGACTCGTGCCGAGCCATGAGCCCGCTTGACGGTGCTGCCATATTTGCTTGCTTGCTGTTCTGGAGTGCTGTTAAGACTGAGTAAACTAACGAAACTGAGGGTGGGTTTCCCAGCCGGCCCAGGATTAGGCCCATCGATTCAAACCAAGCAATCGCCATGAGAACATCTCACAGCTTGTGCGACTGCCTGCGCCCAAGGCAACACGTAAATAGATTGTACCGAGTGCTGCTGCACATATTAAATTCGGGGATTCGGCATTTGTTCCGCACACCAGCCCATAGTGACGTCATTGATCGCCGCTGCCACGTTGCATCGAGCAATAGCTGACTAACGTATTTCCCTGCATAGGCAAGGTCATGTGACCCAGCACTCAGAGCGGGTGAACTTGTTGTTGAAAGGCAAGTTAAGTTGTATACGATTGACGTGTGATGCTGAAGTAGCATTAACCATGTCGACCAACCGGGAATTTCGGTCTTGGAAGGAGGTCGGCGCTCTCACGAAGACTCCGCGCAGTACCACCCCGAGGGCAGCCAGAGATCTCCGGCAGGCGGGAATGAAGACAAGGTAACCAAGAGAAACCGTCTCGGGGAGAGATAGTAGATCATGGAAGGTATCTGCAGGTAGCTTCCAATAATTGCTTCGCGTTGCAGGTCAGCTACAGCCCATAGACCGGTAGGGATATCGAAAACAGACTGCTTTATCCTTACATGTCGGGGATGGGGGAGAATTCTGCGCATCCATCTCAGCTGATCACGAAATCAACGAAGAAAGGCATAAGAGAGCATGGGACAACGCCTCTCCCAGGAAAGCAGAATCTGGAACGTGGGCCCGCGAAGTAGGGCAATCTGAGGGATAGTGAGGACTGTACCTTGCAGTGGAAAGAAGTATTGCTGTGCGTGGAGACAACTGAGACGAGACATGCACAGTACAGTTGGTATAAAACCTGGCATAGTGGTGGACTAGCGCGTCGTGGGGCCTTTTCCCTTCCGCTTGCTCGTCCCCGAGTTAAGATGCAAAGTCCGTATAAGACTGGCTCCACCACTGCGTACAGTACAATCTGGGATAAGCGAAGAGCCCAGCCCCGGGGCGGTCAATCCGAAAGAGAAATAAGCCCGAGCTGGGCTACTGAAGTCCGGTCCCGCTGGCTTTGCAACCGATATTGTACCTGTTATACGATCACGAGAGATGGCGGTTTTGGCCCCCCGTGGTCCATCCCACATCTACCGTCAGCCGCCTCGAACGAATTGGACATGGAGCCACTCGTAAAGCCACTGCGCCTCGTGAAGACACAAAACCCCATATGTAAATCGGTCTATATAGAGCGAGAGCGCAGACTCCCCTTCTGACACTCCCCCAGATCTTCTGTCTTCTACCTCCCGTCATCATGCCCCCGAGTATCTCAGTAATCATCGTCGGCGCCGGCCTAGGCGGACTCGCCACGGCCATTGGGCTGCGCCGCGCCGGCCATCAGGTCACCGTGCTGGAGAAGGCTCCCGCTTTAGGAGAGGTTTGCTCTTCCTCCCCTCCCCCGTCTTCACCAACAGGGCCTGTCTAACGGTGGCCTGCAGATTGGAGCCGGGATCAAGGTCCCTCCGAACTCAGGCCGGGTCTTCCGCGAATGGGGGCTTCTGGACGCGCTGGAGAAGATCTGCATCTGTCCGCAGGAGAACAAGATGCGGTCGTACCGCGACGGGGAGGTTCTATCGACGATGCCGCTGGGGCGGAAGAGCATGGTGGAGCAGTACAACATCCCCTACTACGTGGTGCACCGGGTGGACCTGCACCACCTACTGGCGGAGGCGGCCCAGCGGGAGGGAGCGGTGATCGAGCTGGGGGTGGAGGTGACGGGGGTGCGCGGCACGCCGGAGCAGGCCTTCGTGCAGGTGGTTGCCACCGGCACTGGGGGGTTGGTGGAGGAGCGGGCGGCGGACCTGGTGCTGGGCGCGGACGGGGAGCGGTCGCGCGTGCGCACCTCGCTGCTGGGCCACGAGTTCCCCTGGCGCGACAGCGGCGACCACGTCTTCCGCGCCACCGTGCCCCTGACAGCCCTGGAAGCCGACGAGCCGCTGCGCGCGCTGACCCGCGGCATCAACTGGTGGGTTGGGCCCCGCGGCAACGCGCTGACCTACCCGCTCAAGCGCGGCGGCCTGCTGAACATCGTCCTCACCCACGTCCATCCCCCGGATGCCTCCGTCCAATTCGCCCCGCAGCCCATCGCCAAGGAGGCCGTGGCCGCTGAGTTTGCTGGCTGGGACCCCTTGTTCCATCGTCTGTTGGACCTGACCACCACCTGTGCGCGTTGGACCCTGCTGCACACCGATATGCCGTCCCAGTGGACGGGCGAGACGGGCAACATCGCCTTGCTGGGGGATGCTGCACACGCAGTCTTACCATACCTGTGAGTTGACCTCTAGCCTCCGCAACGAGGCTATCTCGCGGGGAAGAAAGCAGCTAACCACAAACCCCCCACCCCCACGCAGCGCGCAAGGCGCAGCACTGGCCTTCGAGGACGCCGCCGCGCTGAGCGTCCTCTTCGGCGCGATGCAAGACAAGGCGCAAATCCCCGATCTGCTGACCATCTTCGAGGCTATCCGCCAGCCGCGGGCGCGGGAGATGCGCCGCCGCGTCGGGATGGCGCGCGATCTCTGGTCCATGCCCGACGGGCCTCAGCAGCGCGAGCGGGACCGCCAGCTGCGGGAGCACGAGCACGACCCCTACGACGGATACCCGAACGTGCTGGCGGATCCGGCCCTCACGCGGTGGATGTTCGGCTACGATGCGTTTGAGGAGGCGCGCGAGGCGTGGCGCAAGTTTGCGAGGGGCCAGTTTCCCAGGACCCGCGGGACGTGGCAGTTGAACCGGGAGAGCCGGGATTAGATGCTGTATGATTATGATTAGGGTAATACCAATAGCTATTCGGATATGACTCTGCGCTTGGGATTCTAGTTCCTTCTTTGAGAAGAAAGAAGAATCTGAGACTCTGTAGACCGGAGAAAGGCTGATAGATTAACACAGTCAGACTTGCTTGTGGTTAGTGATATCTTGGCCAGAGCAGTCTGGTAGAAAGAACTATCTTGGGCCGTTTTCTGGGGCCAAAAACGGATGCCAGTCAGTCCGCGTGAATGGCCCCATGCACTACTACTCGTGCAACCCTGCTGATGGGCCGTCATGCTATCTTCATCATGGTCGGTGCATTGGACTAGCAAGCTACTAGCTCCCATGCCACGCGACGCTGATAACGTCTCAGGAACAATTGGCGGAAACGTGCGGAAAACGTGCCAAGAATACGACAGGACATGGACTCTCACCAGCCGGTCGTGAAACATGCTACGAGGATAATACGCCTAGTCGATATCACTCTGAACGATGGATGGGAATAGGGTACAGCCGGATGACGGAACTTCCTAGCACTGTCCGCACAGGCCAGCTCGGTCATGTGTGCACACGGTCCCCCTGGCGTATATTAAAGCAGCGGGGATTGCATCAGATGGAACAGTAACCCCTAGCACCAAATCAAGCCATGTCTACAACCGAGACGCAGACGATCCTCGCCAGGCACACGGCGTTGAGCCAACAGGTGCCGGATGATCCAGCCGTGTCTACGACCGAAACACAGGCCCTCCTCGCCGGTCTCGCGGCGTTACGCCAGCAGGTGCCTGAGGATGATGACCTTCGCCGGCAGCTGTCCCATGCGCTGTCGCAGGCCCTGGTGGCAGTCGAACGACCATTGGAGACCGTCCACCGGATCTCTTTTGCCGTAGGTGCTGCTGCCCTTCAGGATCACTTTCGTTGACGCTAACACCCACACAGCCCCTGCAATTGACGATGACCAAGGTCGCCATCGATCTGAACCTCTTCGAGATCCTCGTTGCGAAAGACGAGCCGATGAGCCTGGCGGAGCTGACCCAGGCCACCGGCGCAGACCCTGTGCTGATCGCGCGCATCCTTCGCTATCTGGTCGCCTTCCACCTGCTCGCTGAAACCGGAGTCGACCGGTTCCAGGCCACCGCAGTGACCCGAGCCCTCACCGTGCCGGGGTTTGCAGCCGGGATCAAGCACCAGTCAGTTCTGGCCCCGCCATCTCGTGTCTGCACGACTCACGACTAATCCACTTTCCACAGTTTCGAGGTGCAACTGCCCGCCTGGGGGGCCCTTCCGGCCTTCCTCGCAGCAACCAACTACCAGAACCCCTCCGATCGGGAGCGCACGGCATTCCAGCAGGCCCACCAGACCGACCAGACGGTCTTCGCCTGGTTCATGGGCGGCAGCGCCCCACCGCGGTTGTTCGAGGAATTCAGTCTGTGGATGAGCGCCCAGCGCGTGGGGCAGCCCATCTGGCTGGACGTGTTCCCACTGGAGCGATTGCTTACTTCTGCCCCTAAAACAATGGCCACGACCACCACAGCCCCCACTACAGCAGCAGCAGCCGCAGCAGCAGCAGCAGCATCGGCATCGCCGTCTCCTCTCCCACCCCTCTTCGTCGACGTTGGGGGCGGCGTCGGCCACCAGTGCGTGGAACTGCTGAAGCGGCTGCCCCAATGGCACGGCCGCGTGGTGCTGGAGGACCTGGCCCCCGTGGTGGCCCAGGCGCTCCCGCACGCCGGGTTCGAGCGACGGGCGCACGACTTCTGGACCCCGCAGCCGGTGGTTGGGGCGGGATTCTACTACCTGCGCAACGTGCTGCATGACTACCCGGACGAGCAGTGCGTGCGGCTGCTGGGGCTGCAGCGGGCGGCGATGGGGGCGGGGTCGGTGGTGCTGGTGGACGAGATCGTCTGCCCGGCTTGCGGGGCGGGCCCCGCCGTGGTGGATATGGACATCACCCTGATGGCGTGCCTGGCGGCGCAGGAGCGCACGCTGGCGCACTGGACCCGGCTGTTCCGGGCGGCGGGGCTGGCGCTGGTGGAGGTCGTGCCGTATGTCACGGAGGGGGGGCATAGTGTGATGGTGTTGGAGCGGTTGGGGGAGGGGGAGGGGGAGGGGGAGGGGATTTAGGGCAAGTCGTATCTTGCGTTTTCGGCTGACTGTCTGTATCTACTCGTATATGTACGATACATACAGTACTGCTTATGATGCGTGGGCCAGCCTTGATGTTACATGAATACAGTCATCATTAATACAATACACCAACAAGTTGCCTTATACAATGGCTGTATCCATACCATACCGTCCTCCACCCGAAGGAACCGAGCACAGCGAAGGATGCATCCTCCCGTAACACAACAGCTGGAATGCAAAGGATTTCCCCGAAGCTTAGCATTTGTCGCTACACAATTGGATCCAACTTGGCCGTTGCGATCCGCATCTCAGACACACAGACGTACTTCCAAACTTCCCCTCCAGCCTTAACATCCATCTACACATCCTACCACCCGTATTTCCGTCCAAAAGACCGGTCAGGATGACTTTAGTGCTTACGGACCTTTCCCCATTCACCTAGCACGGCACTAGGGACCGCCTAGGGCTTATCTTCTCCCCTGCATTTCCCCCAATGGCACGGCCGATTCCTGTGGCACGACTCAGCTCGCACCCGACATTGCTGATTCTATTCTGTGCGGTCGTGTCGTTCTTACCGGTGCAGATGGTTTCTTACATGAACAGAGAAAGAAACCGTGTGCCCCCGTCGACATTGAACGAAGACCCGGGAAACGGCCCCTTTTCGCCTCTGCATTAGTGCTGACCGGTGTCACCGCCTCGATATGCTGAACACAGAGAGACGAAGGCCTAGCGTTACATCGTAGCGCTAACAGGACACTATTCTGGCTAGGTATTGTACATTGCCGTAGGACTCAGTGATTGTCTTTGCTCTTCCTGCCCAATGGAATCACTCAATTGGGAAAAGCGCGCATCGCTTTTTTTTGTGCACTGTGTACAGAGTATGATGGAACCCTCCTCCCCCACCGGGCGCGAACAAGCCCCGCGGCAGGGGTGGATCAACCCATTTTAGTTCTTGGGTACAGTACAGTTAGTACCTTAGGATCCATGCCATCGACATAGCTAGCTAGCCAGCGCTGAACGTGAAAACCACTGTGTAAATCCGCTGAGATCGAAGCCCGTATAAAACGTTCCCCTCCAGCCAGATGATTTAACCCATCCCATCCCATCCCCACTCCCTGTCACTCTCAAGCCCCCTCCGCCCTCTCACCTCTCTATTCTCCATCCCACCCCACACCTCCAATCACAATCACAATGGCCGACACCGTCGCCGAAGTAACCGCCGCCGTCACCGCCGCGCTGGCCAAGCTGTCCCCGACCGACGAGATCCCCGACGCGGCGCGCTTCGGCCTCATCGATGCCTTGGAGAAGCTCAAGGCGGCAGTCGAGCCGCCCATCGCGACGGTGCTGAATATTTGCTGGGCGGTATGTTTGACTTCCCTTCTCCCCCGAAGAAAAAAAAAAAAAAAAACACAAAAAAAAACACAAAACAAACCACACACTGGAGTGATGCTGAAGTGAATTGCTAACGCGTCCAAACTGGTGGCAGGCCCACCCCCTCATCGCCCTCCGCATCGCCATCGGCATGGGCATCTTCGACGCCTTCGCCGCCGCCGGCCCGGGCGCGGAGTTGACAGCCGACGAGCTGAACGAGAAGACGAAGGGCGATAAGGATATGTTGGGTGAGCTTCCCCCTTTTCCCCAGAGGACGTTAGCGCTATCCGAGGTCGGTCCAGTGCGCTAATCTTGGGGTTGGGATGGGATGGGACAGTCCGCATCATGCGCCTGCTGAGCGCCAACCGGCTGTTCACGGAGACGGCGGCGGAGAAGTACCAGGCGCAGCCATTTGCGCTGGCGTTCGCGACGGGGGCGCCGCCGAGCGAGGTGATCAAGAACTTGTACGTGCACACTTACCCCCGGGGGGACATCTACGAGGGGAGTGGAAGCGGTGCTGACGGAGCGACAAACCAGCCACATGATCCTGCGCGCGACGGCGTACACGCACGAGTTCCTGGCCGCCCGGGACTACACGAGCCCCGAGGACGCGTACGAGACGCCCTTCCAGCTGGCGTACAACACGCCGCTGCACCACTTCGAGTGGCTGGGCACGAACGCGGAGGAGCAGCATGCCTTCAACGTGGTGATGGAGACGAGCAACCGCGCCGTCGAGGGGGCGCAGTGGTACGACTTCTACCCATGGGCGGAGCGGCTGGCTACGCCTGACGACGCAGAGCGGGTGTTGCTGGTGGACATCGGCGGCGGCAAGGGCCACGACCTGCAGCGGTTCCAGCAGTCCCAAAACCCGGGGCGCAAGCTGGTGCTGCAGGATCTGCCCAGCGTGATCGCCGATATCTCGGGCCCCCTGGGCGGGCAGATCGAGGCGCTCGGGTCCAGCATGTTCGACGCGCAGCCCGTCCGCGGCGCCAAGGCGTACTACCTGCGCACTGTGCTGCACGACTGGCCCGACAAGCAGGCCCTGCAGGCCCTGGCCCGCGTCCGGGAGGCCATGGCCCCGGATTCGGTCCTGTTGATCAACGAGAACACCATCCCCGAGACGGGCGTGCCTCGCTTCAATGCTAGTGTCGATCTCATCATGTTGTCCATGTTCTCGTCGCTGGAGCGCACGGATAAGCAGTGGCTGAGTCTGTTGGAGCGCGCCGGCTTCAAGGTCGTCAAGGTGTGGCGGGCCGAGAACCAGGGTACCGGGTCGAATGCGCTGTTTGAGGCGGTGCCGGTTTGAGAGTGTATGGGTAGTTGGTTCGAGAGCTGGGATACCTTGGATTCAGTTGTACAGGACGAATATATTTGTTTAAGCCTTGGTGCCGGCTGCTTGCAAAGTAGGCTTGATGCTGGGTATTTGTAATATCTATGTATGGTCTTATCCTTCAAGGTCTGCTGCGATCAGGCGGGAGTCCAATCCTCAAGACCATTCAGAATGTTAGAAACCAGGCGGAAGGTAATTGGACGAGGTACTCCCCTATGGTGCACTGCATCAGCAGTAGATATGGCAGTGACAAGATGCTATCCAGAAAAGATAAAGAATGAAGTCAGGAACCAAAGAGAGAGGGAGGGAGAGAGTGTGTGTGTGGGAACCACGTCAACTGCGCAGAAGCAGTGAAGTCCAGAAGATAGCCCGACACAGGGGAACTAGCCAGTAGCAGACCAAAGCAGTGCTCTAGAGATAATTACTACATAGCTGGTTCACGGTAACTTAACTCTCCCACAGGAACGAATGCCAGTTCGCAATGCGGCGAGCGGGGCTAAACAACCCAACCCGACTTCCTCGTATCTCCCCACCCGGGTACTCTTATCAGTAGCGAGTCACCTTTATGCTATGTATATTGGAGGTTACTGTCGTCTCTAACCAACTCCACCATCCACAAACAAAGTGCATATCCAATACCTATATACAATAATATTATACACCGATGCCCATATTAGCCAACACTAACGACTATACAACGAACGAAGAAAGAAACAGTGGTATAATCAACAATCCAACAAGACCAGCATCCTCATCCACCCTTTCCCCCCTTCCCACCCCCTCAATAACACAAAAAAGAGAAGAAAAAAAAAAAAAAGGAAATTCAAACCGGACTTTCCACACTCGTCTCCGACTGCCTCGGTGATCCCCGCTCCCTGGAAGTCTGCGTGATCAGCACGGTCTGCTGAATATTATTCTTCGCCGCCCCGCCCTTGCCGCCATGGACAATCAGATTGACCCCGTCATCCGCCCCGCGCCCACTGATTCTCTTGGCGGCGTGCTTGTGGTGACTCTTCTGGGCGCGCACGGAGGTCTTGACGAAGCCGATCCGGTACGAGCCCGTCGACCCGGACCCCGTGCCCGTGTAGTTGCTGCTGCTGTGGTTGCTGGAGGGGCGGATGGGTTGCCCTTTGACCAAAAAATCCCAGATCGGCTTGGAGGGCGGGATGCATGCGGCGATGATTACCAGGGGGATCTCGAGGAAGGCCCATAGGTAGAGTGCGTAGCCGTCCCAGGTGGGGTCGGTGCCGCCGGTGGCGGGGATGAATTCGCTGGTTTTGATGCAAGCGCATACTCCTGCTCTTTGGGGGGTTAGTTCTGGTTGAGAAGGGGGGGGGTGTGGGGGGGAAGGGAAGGGGGGCACTTACACGATACCTAAACTGAGGATGCAGAATAGAACGATGCGTTTGCGCAGGCTAACCTTTAGGTCGACAATGAAGCTCAGCGGGAGCAGGGCGAGGACGAAGTCTAGGTATGCGCCAAAGGCTGTTCCTGGGTTAGCTCTACACGAAGGCTGATGGAAGGCGGGTTGGAGGGGGAGCTGACCTGACTGCAACATGGTGATGTCCGTGTTAATCCGCGCATCCAAACATGTGGCCTGCCCCGAGGTGCGCAGGCTCATGTCCCACAGCGCCTGGACGGGCTTGCACTGGCCGATCAGTATGCACAGGCTCAGCACGGTGAGGCAGAAGTACAGCACGATGTGCACGGTCAGGAACCAGCGGCGCCACTTGGAGGTGCGGCCCGAGATGCGCATGATGAACAGGGCCACGCTGATCTTGCCGCACATCGCCGACAGCGCCGCCGGGAACTGGTTGATGATCTGCATCTTCCCGATGTACAGGATCTCCTCCGCGCTGAGGTAGGCCACATGGCGCGCCCCGCCGCGCAGCTCCATCGCCGTGCTCATCGCCGTCGCCGCCGTGTAGAGCATCTGTGGTTTCCCGTAGTCAGTCAGTCGATTCTTGTATCTCGGGGTATGCTGGCTGCGCTGGCAGCGACTTACCCAGGCCACCAGGATCGTCCAATCGTCATACCCCAGGTCTTTTCGCATGCCCCGGCAGTAGAAGCGGGTCACGACCAAGCCCACCGTGAAAGGGAAGGGGATCCAGAAGCAGAGTAGCAGGCTCACAGCCCGGTTCTCGTCGGGAGGCAGAGCCGCTGACATGGCGATGCGTGGGTTTCCTTCGCGCTGCGGAGGAATTGGAGACGCAGAGGCTGCAGGCTGCGCCGGTTGGGAAGATCAGCGTGAGGCAGGGAATGCAGGGTGGGAGGGGAGGGGAGAGCCGGAGGGGGAGGGGGTAAGCCAGGCGCATACACTTATAGCGGCGTTGCCACGACGTGTCGATGAACAGCATTGTTGCAGGGCGCAGTCAGGCCCGTCATCCCATATCAACCAACTGCAGGGAACCACTCAGAAAGGCGATGGGTGCATTTTGGCCCTCCGGTGCTCTGCGCTACCTGGATAGCTGCTGCAATGGTGGTTGGGGTCCATTCGGTGGCGGTCGGCCTGAGGCTGCCTGCCCCATCTGGCACCAACCGAGATGTGGGTGGGGAGCTGTTGGCCACCGGGGCGGATTGGTGTCCTCGCGTATGGCTCCTGGCCTTAGTGAGTGAGTGAGTGGTTGTGAGTAAAGACGGTAGTTTCCATAGCTTACTGAGTTATAGCTGACTATAGCTGACAATTACCCAGGCCGACGGGAGGGGGTGTTCACGCATCCAGTGCCAAACCTGCATGATGTCGAAACGTGCAGTATCTGCGGTACGTGGGTCTCGCGTCCAGAATGTCAAGATGCAGAACCCCGCTTTGGATTGGGGGTGAGGAAAAACAAGCGTGTTGTCTGTGCGAGAACTGAGTGGCTTGACTCTTGGGATTCGGCCCCATATTTGAGTCCCGAACTAGGGCTATCTCCGGGGGATTCCAGCCCCCGCCCGTTCAACGGCGATGCTGCTCAGTGTTTTACCACTGCTGGATTCAATACAGTCAATTCCATGTTCGCCCAAAGGTAACTAATATCCTTATTTATTCATTTAAGCAGAATCCATTGATTGGCCCGAGTTGAGTACAAGCACCTCACACCACAGTCGCCAGGGCCATGTTTTGTTTGATTTGTCAACCATCAATCAGCCCTTCGTCCCGCCCCACCAATGCAGCCCCCATGCACTGCATAAGCAGTAGTAAGGACAGTACAGTACCACGATGTATGGAGTATGGAGCCATGTATGTATGCATATAGACTGTACTTGTATTATTATCGTACTGTACACTCACTCATCAGGTACTCTTATCTAGTGATTGATGCCGTTATCGACCAGACCCGTCTTTTTGGCCCCCCCCCCCCCCCCCCCCCCCCTCTGCTTCTCTTCTCTTCTCTTCCCCGAATTCCTTCATTTACACCCCCGAGTCGATCTCATCCACAAACTCATGCCCACTAAAATAAGCCCAGTCGCGACACGTCTGGGCCATGCTCTTGGGAATCTGCAGGTCCTGGATCGCATCCGGCTGCTCCACCACGTTGATCAGCAAGCCCGCACTTACGTGGAAGGACATGTGGCAATGCAGCGGCCAGGTGCCCGGGTTGTTGAGCTGCCACTCCAGGACCAGGTAGGCGGGGTCCTCAGGGTTGCCGGGCTGGAGGATCTGCGTGTCGCGGCTCTGGGGGTTGGTCGGGTTGGTGATGGTGCCGTCCCACGTACCGCGGCCCTCGGCCAGCACCCAGAAGTTGTGGCCGTGCAGGTGCATGGGGTGCTGCATGGCGAAGACGTTGTAAATCACCAGGCGGACGGAAGCGTTCGCCCCGAAGTTGTAGATGTTCAGGTCCGGACTCTCCGGGTAGGAGAAGTTGCCGTTGCGGCCCAGCAGCAGCAGCGGCGTGTTGTAGTTGGCGCGGAAGGTCGAGTTGTTCACGAAGAAGAGGTAGTTCCCCGAGGCGTTGACCCCCATCGTCACCTCGAGCGTCTCCGTGAGGGCTGGTGTGGCCGGCGGCGTCTGCGCGTAGTACGGCACCGTCGTGTTCAGCGGGTCGTTGCGGCAGTTGTTGCTCTCCCACGTCGCGGTCGACTCGCTGGTTGGGAGTGCATTGGGATTCGCCTGCTCGTAGTAGATCGCCGCCTGCACAGTTTCGTAGGTGGCGGTGTTGTTCAGGCAGTACATGTCCAGCGTGGCGCGCATCCAGTACGCGTCCGTCGGCTGGCCAGTGGCTTCCACGATGACATCGGTCCGCTGGCCCACGCCCAGCGTCACGACCTCGGTGGTATACGGCTGCACCGGCACGAAGTCGTTAGCGATTACCGTCATCGTGTGCCCGTCGATGCTGAACTTCTGGTTGGCGTTGGCCCCGGTGTTCAGCAGCCGCAGCCGGTGCTTCTTGCCGGAGGTGAAGTTGAACCGCGCGTAGCCCGTCCCCGTGCCACTGGCCCCGTGGCCGTTGATCAGGTTGTTGTCCACATTGGGGAAGCTGGGCGGGATGGAGAGGATCTCCTGGAGCACGGAGTAGTAGTCGAGGTAGGTGTAGTCCGCGATCATCACCGGGCCCACGTCCAGGTCGTACTCGGCCCCGGGCTGCACCGGTCCGTGAATGATCATCGGCCCGTAGGCGCCGTCGGTGTACTGGGCACTGAAGTGGGAGTGGTACCAGCTCGTGCCGTACTGATCGGCTTGGAAGCGGTAGGTGAAGCTACCCCCGGGGATGATGGGACACTGGGTGACCCCCGGCACTCCGTCCTCCCACGGTGTCTTCTTCTGCGTCAATCCGTGCCAATGCAGGGTCGTGCCTTCTTCGTCGTCGTAGATCTCGTTGCGCACCGTCACCTCGATCATATCGCCCCAGTTGGCCTCGATCATGGGACCGGGGAACTGCCCATTGATCAAGATGGCATCTTTCGAGACTCCGTCCGGCGCCACAGTCCCCCGCGCGATAGTGAGGTTGTAGTGCCGTGTTACGCCCGTGTTAGGAGGGTCGCCTGAGGGAGATACATCTGACCAGGGCGCGGTGGTGGGACAGGTCTGGTCAATTGTTAGACGGTCTGAATCCAAGCGTGGATATTTCCGCTGATGAAGGGGGCGGAAACAATGAGGACATACCTTGTCTTTGCGCCACGCAGGGAGATTTCGGGTCGGAAGAAGGCCATAAGGATATCGCGCGACTGAGGAGGAAGTCGAGGTCTGAGACGAGGCAACAGCAGCAGCAGCCGCCGTCACCGTCGCAGTCCCGGCGACGAGTCCCAACGATTTCCAACTGAACAACATCTTTAGTCGAGGAAAATGAGAAAGGTGAACTGGATGAAGCACAACATCATTGACCGCGTGGGGTGCTTTTAGGGCACATTTATATCTTCACCGGGCGACCTTTTTTTTTCTCCCATGGTGTGGGCTATCGCACGACACGCTGCAAACTCTGGTCTCCAGGTTCTACTGGGGGATCAATCCTTCGAATCCACCCAGTAACCCTCATATTCATTAGGAGTCATCCATAATAATCAGCAGAGGTCTTTAGAATGCCTGCTCACTTCATGGGTAGTTTCGTAGTTAGTGTCTCGCCCCCACGCAGTAGCCTGACGCAGTCAGACAATAGTTATGTAAACATAGCCTCAACTTCGGTCGAACCGAGAGGCTAAGCGCCAGCCATGCCCCTTAGCGACAATTGCCCGAGATCAGGCTTTATATTAATCCGGTCACACGTGGAGACTAAAGGGTCCGTCCAGAATCGATCTAAAATCTGACGTATGTGTATGTAACGCTGCGAAGCGCTTTCTCTGCTGCCATTCTAAACGTACCGCCGGTTCCCGGGCGGTTCCGGATCGCTGCAGACTTATTTCGTTAGGGTTAGAGCCAAATTGGTACTGTTCGTACTGCTGTTCGTACTGCTGTTCGTATTGCTATTCATGCATTGACAGGTGGAACTTACGATGGCAGTGGTAGTAAGCAGGCGGGCCTTCAGAAGCACGTTACGACCTCTCGTCATAGTCAGCATCAACTATCCAATGAACCCTGTGTCGTTGATTGGACTCTGCTCCCTTCTATCACTCTATCAGTCTATCTACCTCGTGTCGGTTTTTCAATCGTCGCTTCCAGGGCTGTATGAGTGACCAGGATATTGGTTTCTGAAATTTAGCCCCCAAACCGGCCTCAACACACCCTCACCCCGCATCTTGTCTGATCAGAGAAGACTATGCATTGACCATACAGTACCTATGCTGAGCCGAGATGCCGTGACTGTGCCCGTGGCTTCTGGTGAGGAGGCTCGTTTGCTGGAGAGCTGTTTCCTGCTGCCCAGGTTGACGGGCGACCAGCTTACTGGCTTCTCCATTGACATCTGAAGACGAACATCCCGCATTCAGGGTATATAACTGACGTTCAGCCCCCGGAGAAGCCATGAAGAACGGGCTAATTGACTGATTCAACTCGGACAGATCTTATTCCATCATCTTTCATCCTCTCTCTCTCTCTTCCTCTCATCCCCTCGTTGCCCACCTTCACCAAAGAGCAGAACAATGCCAGTGCCAACCAAGGCAAGCAACGGTGGCGCGCCACCCACCCTGCCCAAGGGTCCTCCTGCCCCAAGAGCCCAGGACCAGCCGCTCAGCTTGACCAGCCCGGCCAGCTGGATCCCATACCTCCAGCTGATGCGCCTCGACCGGCCGGCGGGGTTCATCGGCTTCTACATGCCCTCGATCCTCGGGCTGGTGTACGCAGCGAGCCTCGCGGGGCCCGGGACGGTGCCGCTGCGGCAGCTCCTCACACAGAGCATCTTCTGGCTGGTGGCCAACATCCTCATCCGCGGGGCGGCCTGCACGTGGAACGACAACATCGACCAGGAATACGACCGCCAGGTTGACCGGTGCCGGGGGCGGCCGATCGCGCGCGGGGCAGTCTCGACGCAGCAGGCGCACGTCTTCCTGGCGCTGCAGCTGGCGCTCCTGGGACAGCTTTTCCATACTCTCCTACCCAAGCAGAACCCGAGCGCCGCCTACGCCGCCGCCGCGATGGGCGCCCTCTACGCCCTCTACCCCTTCTGCAAGCGCTTCACCCACTACCCGCAGGCCATCCTCGGCGTCCCCCTGGCCCTGGCCATCGTCCTGTCTGCCTACTCGCTGGTCGGTGACGATGACGCCCAAAGCAAGGGAGACCCCTTCCGCGACCGTCCCACCACCGCCGCTACCCTCGCCCTCGCCCTCGCCGAGATCCTCTGGACCATGATCTACGACACCGTCTATGCCCACCAGGACCTGCAAGACGACGTCCGTGCCGGCGTCAAGTCCATGGCCGTCCGCTTCCGGCACTCCACCAAGCCACTGTGCGCCGCGTTGGCGCTGGGCCAGGTCGCCTTGCTCGCCCTCGCCGGCGTCTGGGCCCAGATGCCCCCCGTGTACTTTGTCGTCGGCGTCGCGGGGTCTGCGGTTGCGCTGGTCGTCATGCTCGTTTCGGTCGATCTGTCTGTGCCCGCTAGCTGCGCCCGCTGGTTCAAGTTGGGCTTCTGTTTTGTGGGCGGGTGCATGAATAGCGGGTTCTTCGCGGCCTATCTGGTGAGCTGGTTTGGCTGGGCGTGAGGGGGGTGTGGTATGTGTAGTGTTGGTTATGGGGTGTAGAGAGGAGGCGAAGATCTTCAAGGGAGGCTTTTTGTTTTGTCTCTGCGTTTGAAGGGGAGAGGAGGGATGCAATGCGGTGCTGTCGGAGTTTAGAGAAGTGACGTAGAACTACGGTGACAATGAGAAGCAAGGGTCAAGCTGGGTGAGGACTGAATAGGTGTACCTATCAGACAGCACCCAATGCATGCCTTCTGGCTCTGTATATAGCTAATGCGAATGCAATAAAGCGAAGTGGGGGTTAAAGATGTCGTCTAACCTGAGACTCTCGACATACTCCGTTCCTGGTTGATAGTGCCGTAGAGGACACGAACGAGTAGCCAAACCGGCGTCCCATGCGAACATCACCATGCAGCATCATACAAAGTAAAAAAAAACTGACAAAATGTGACATTCACCTCCAGGGTTTTGTAAATTTGAGTGTAGCACAGACTGTCACGGCTGCTCTGATCTATATGGTGGGCGTGGGCTCGGAACTCCGTTATGCCGATGCCGATGCCGATTCCGAACCTCAGCGTCACCCACAGACAGCCTCGTCTCGTCAACAACCTCACCATGCTTGTCAAACCATCTTCCTCCTAGCACTGTATCATCAGTCTCATATCCCATGCCCCCCTTGCGTCGCAAAAATGGCCGCCAGCCCGCATGCGAGCCCTGTCGCCGGCGCAAGCTCGCCTGCGACCACGAACTGCCCACCTGTGGCCGGTGCGAGCGACTGTCAATGAAGTGCTTCTACCTCGTCAATCCGCTGACAAAGGCAAAGCCTGCTAGTCACGACTCATTGGAACCATCGCCGGACTCAAGCATCCCGAGCATTCCGAGCGATAGTAGCGCCATGCCGAGTGCAAAGACCTGCCCCGGCGCGCAGTCCACCACGCCGATCATCGAGAGCTCCGCCGAGTATCTGGGGCCGGCGAGCTTCACCTCGGTGTTTGTGGAGCACCGTGACCGCTTCGAGGTCGATCACACACTAGCCCGCCCCGGTGCCGGTGGTGGTGGTGGTGGTGGTTACACAGCTCATCGTCCACCATCGCCGGTCCAGCCCGCCACGAACCCGATCATCACGCCGCGCTTGCTCCAATTCGGCGTGCAGATCCTGCGGAACGTCCCGGACGAGGAGACGTGTAACCTACTCTTTGTGCGCTGTGAAGTCTCCATGGACTCGTGCTTCCGATTGGCCAATTGGCAGGCGTCCAAGCGGACCTGGGACGCGTATCGGCCTGTGCTGCGGGCACGCACGCACGAGGATCTGCACACCCTCGCGCGGCGGTTGGCGGAATGCACGGTTGTCCCGCTGCCCGCGGAGCAGGACCCGGATCGCTGGATCGAGTCGTTCTCGGGCCGACAGGCGCGGTGGGAGCTCCTCGGCGTGCTGTTTACGTACTGGTCGTATGGGTGTGTGTCCCTGGCACCGGACAGTCCGGCGATCGCATCCTACTGCGCGGGCCGGGCGATGAAGGGCGCGAAGGAGATGATGCTCCATTTCAAGAAATGCGCGTCCATGTGCATTGAGATGTGCAGCGAGCTGGGAGGCGTCAATGTGCTGTTCCTGCACCTGCTGTACAAGCATAATATCATGGAGAGCAACGTGAGTGGAGACAAGAGTGAGTGTTCTCGGTCAGGTTGGGAGGCGATGGTCTGCTGACGGTGGTAGGTCTCTCCTGCTGGCGCCAACACGGCGATACTATCGCCGTGACCACGTCCATCGGGCTTCATCGCGAGTCATCATCGGAATGGAATGAGGTATCGTTTCAGCATGAACTGAAAAGGCGTCTCTACTCGGCAATCTTCGCGTTTGACAAAGTCGCCTCCACCTTGACGGGTCGGCCACCGCTCCTGAGTCGGAGGTTCTCAACTACCCAGCTACCGTTAGACATCAGCGACCACGATATCTTGTCCGGTAATGTGACGGGTGCCGCTGCGAAGCTGGATTCCGACGGGTGGAATCGCAACAGCGGCAGGAAATTCACCCAGGCTGCGATCCTGCGCGCGCGGGCCATGTTCGCGAGGAACCGCGAGGAGATATTGGAGGTGTTGGAGTCCTCGCTGGACGAGATCTCTGACTCGGCTCTTGAGACGTGCTTGTGAGTCGCAGTGGACACTTGCCGTGGGCTCTAACTGACTGAATTCAGTAATCTCAAAGCTCAGGCGTCTGCCATCTATGACAAGCTACCCGAAAGCCTTATCCACAAAGTGGAAGATATAGACGATCTCGATATTCCGGGGCATTGTCTGCATACCCGAATTCTTGTGCGCTTGGAGTACTTGCTGAATCAGTTTCTGCTGGAAAGACTCCTGACCCGTCACAAGATCGTCACCGAGCAGGCGCTCATCGGGGTGAGCCAGGAGACGCTGTCTCTCACGTTGCTTTACTGGAAACACAAGGACCGATTCATGGCCTTGCATAATGATTTCTCATGGCTAGTAAGTCCCATTCTATGGGCTCACCCCTGTTCTCGTGCGCGTACTGATCGGCAGCGCAGGCGATGTCGTACGGCGCACCGTGTAGTGGAATCCTCTGTCTCGAGCTGCTCCGCCAAGCGTCCAACCCCCAGGCTTACAACTTGGACCTGCCTCGCTCGGAGACGATCCAGAACCTAAGCCTGTTCGTGGCCTTTCTGGATTGGCTCAAACCCTGCGGCTCGGATATCTCCGCCAAGACACAGATCAAGAGCATCCTGCAACGGTCGCTCGATCGGATCCTCGCTATGCCGGCTTCGCTGTGCAGTCCAATGATGACCATGGACAGTTTCGGCATGCACGACTTTATCGGCGCGGAGTATCCACACCTGGAGCTTCTGAACACCTTCAATTGGGTGGACTGGGATGGAGGGCTGTAGATGATCAACATGGTCACTACCTGCTGTCTATCAGTCTCTATGCTCTAAATCTAGATTCTAGGACTCCCAACTCCCGAAGCACAAAAAGGGCGACATCATCCGGACTCCATCGCTGTACAACTGGATCAAGATGGGGTTGATCCAAATCGGCACCGTCCACAGCATGAACAGCGCTACCCAGACATAACCGATAACCCTCTTGACACCGGGATTCATCCGAGCCCGCAGTGGCTGGAAGAGATCCCGCACAATGCTCTCAATCACGACTCCTACAATCTGCAAACAGAAGAACCACAAGGCGCCGCTCTTGGCCATCGGCACCCCGAACCCCACGTCCATGAAGAGATGAATGACCCCTGATACCGTGAACGCAAGCAGGGCCCGGAGGGTCCACCCCAGTCGCCCCTTGGGCGATATCCGCATCAGGGCGAGCAAGAAGTCCGCGTTGGCGGTCAGCAGCTGGCGGAAGGTCTGGTGCCACGTTATCCTGTTGACAGATTAGCTATGCCATGTCATGCCATGCCTTGCCCTTACACCCGGAAAGGAACAGTCATTTTCGAAAGGGACGGAAAGAAAACATACCCCCAGAAGCGCCTAATAGACCAGCCCTCCCACAACGACCCAGCGACAGGCGGCCACTTCACCGGCTCATCCAACCCCAACCCCACCGCCACGATCGCGAAGACATTATACGAAGCGATAATCGTCGCGCGGCCCACGATCCCAAACGAGAGACAAAACAGCGCGCGCACGAGCATCCTCCGCCCGAACTCCTCCCACCCAGCCGCCATCGCCCCATTCGCCCACGGACAAAGCGCCTCCCGCGCCTCCGGCAGCAGCGCAACCGCCTTGCCCAGATTCTTATCGTCGGTCTCCATCGTACACCCCTGGATCACGACAACCGCAATGGCCACTTTCACCCCCGCGCGACCCAGAAACCGGGCCCGCGACGGCACATACCCCGGGACTGCGTCGTCGAACCGCGGCAAACCCCGAATCTCCCACGGCGTGTCGATGCGCCGGTAATTGAAGGCGATGTTGAGGGCCCAGCGCAGTCGGGCGAGTCTTGCACTTGATGCCGACTCTTTCTGTGTCTGTTCTGGTTGTTGTTTTGGGTTGGGTGAGTGCGGCTGCTTCGCAAGCGACCCATTCGCCCGCGCGTACTTGGCGAATTCCCACAGCTTCTGCGCCTCGAACGACACCCGGCTCAGCACGAGCAGGTCCACCGCGTTCAGCACGTTCACCCAGCACATCGAGATCAGCGGGGCGCCGAACCGCGTGCCGCCGTAGTAGAGCTGCGCGCTGCGCTGCATGGAGTAGGCCAGCGCGATGAGGAGGAGGGCGGTGGCGGGGCGCGCGGGGGCGCGCGGCGCGGTGAAGGCCACCACGATGCCGGCGAGGGGCTGGATGAGGAGCCATTGCACGAGGGGGATGTGCCAGTTGGCTGGGAGGGTGGACATGGTGTCCCTGTGTCCCTGTCACCTGTGAAGCTGGCGGATGGGGGGAAAGGGGGGAAGGAAGGGGTTAGAGATTACTGTGAGGCTGAAGCTGAAGCATGAGACTACGGAGATGGGTGTGGGCTTTATGGTGGTCAAATATGCAGGTGTGACTAAGCCTGCTGGGCATTATTTTCATTTTGGGTAGACTAAAATAGCGACTCAAGCAGCGGTGTGGACCTCGTAGTGAATGGTGTTGTTTATTCGCTGATGAAGGCTGGGGCTGCTGTCGATCACGCAAGTGCCCCTTTTCGGCGATAGGGAAGGGCTCGCCGCGGTTGCCAGAAACCCCAGGCCGCAAAGCGCGCATCGATGCTCGGACCTCATTGGACAGCGGGCTACACCTAACACATGCTCAATTCACCCACCACCGATCAACAGCTCCATCAACCACACACCATCAACGCTGATTACAGCTGCAACGAAAGACAAAAAGAGACCTCCGATGCGGGGAATCGAACCCCGAGCTGCTGTGTGAGAGACAGCGATGTTAGCCATTACACCACATCGGATATTGGGACTGCATCATCCGTGAATCGAACACGGGCCTCATCGATGGCAACGATGAATTCTACCACTAGACCAATGATGCTGGTTGATATAATGTTCACGAGACTTGTGTTATATGAGCCAAATCATGCGGCTAACGAGCATGGTGCTGTATCGGGCCTCCAATGCGCAACAATTATTTATGCTTAGGAGGAAAGGGTGTATTTGCCACTGTGAGAGTGTGTATGCCCTGTTTTTGGATCATCCAATTCCTTTTTTCCCTCAAGCGGAAGATATCTTCTAGAGGTAGTGTGGACTTGTGTTTCAAGATGGTCAAGCGGACGGGAATATATATTCTAGTCTCGCGGGTGTTATCGTGGAGGCCTGGGCTACGATGCCGATCAGCAGATTGGATACTACATCGTGCGGTGTCCAGACCCTGGTTCCTACCGAGGCATCCACCCGGCCAGAGCAGACCAGACCCCCAGGGTTATCTACACCTACCCCAGATTGATTACGTTGACGGAGAACAGACAAGCGCAGGTGAGATACACAAGGGAAAACAACAATCGTTGCAATGATATACATGTTTAGTACTGCATCGCATCACTAGTTAAGGATGACTCGAATGTGAGGGACTATATATACCGCACACCTGGAATCACAACAGGAATAAAGTGCCAGCAAAAAGCACTAGCGAGACTGCAACCCCCGAAACACCAACAGCCGAAGCAGCGCCCGTGAACAAAGCGCCTGGCGCTCCCGCGGTTGGGGAACCATGAGCCGCCGAAGAAGGAGAGGAGCTAGCGAGGCTGGAGCTGACTGCGATCGACGAGCTGCTGCTGCTGCTGCTGCTGCTGCTGTTGGTCTTGGAGCCGAAAGACCAGGTGGAGTCTGCACCGGGGTGGGAGGAGCTCAGGGTTGTGCCCGGGAAAGCGGTGGCATCGGGCTGGATGACGGTGGTGATGGTGGCGGTGGTGGTCTCGCTGCCGGCGGTGTATACGACGGTCACGAGGGTGGTTTTTGGTCCGGCGGCGATGGATGCGGCAATCGGGGAGACGTTGGTCGAGTCACTGTCGCCGTTGGTAGTATCGTTTGCCGCTTGGCTGGGACCGGATGCCGTAGTTGCGGAGTTGGGGGTGTTATGTTCGGAGGAGCTTTGGGCGTTGGGCTTGGTGGTTTCAGCGTCGCTGCTGCTGCTGCCGCTGCTGCCGCTGGCTGTGGATGTCGTTTGGCCAGCAGCGGGTGTAGAGCCGGCTGCGGAGCCAGGCACTACGCCCTGGGCATTCGACTGCGTGCTCTCGGAAGACTGGCCGGTAGTCTGAGCTGATACAGATCCAGACCCAGATCCCGAAGCAGAAGCAGAAGCAGGGCGTGCATTTGAACCTTCCCCAATGCTACCAGCTACGCCGACACCTCCAGAGGCTGACTGGCCCTCGCCCTGCCCGCTGGACTCCGTGGTACCGCTCTGAGCGCCTGAAGCATGACCAAGAACGTCGACCTCAGCTGTGGTAACAGGTTGGACTCCGGATGCCGGTGCGATCGTAGTACCTCCGGCCGAGGTAACGGCGTGAGCGTCGGCGCCGGCTGCAGCAGTGGGTCGCCACCCGGCTACCGAGACGATTGTGGTGGCCACGGCCTCAAATTGGGTCGTGATGTAGGTGGTGCGCGCAGAGGCGGGACAGTTCTTCACAGTTGAGGGACACGCAGTCACTGTGTAGGTCAGGGTGCGCTCGACTGTGGAGTAGACCGGTTCATGGTTGTTGGAGCTGGCGTCGGAATCGCTGGAGCTGCTGTAACCACCGGAGCTGTTATGGCTGCCTGAGCTGCCGTGATTGCCCGAGCTACCATGACCAGTAGCAACCGGCACCTGGGTCTCCGTGGCCGTGACCGGGCAGATAGTCGTGTACGCCACCAAAGTCTCCGTAGTCACATAGGTCGTATGCTGTGCGGCCGGGCAGTTGGTGACCGACGTCGGGCACGCGGTGACGGTGGCAGTGCGGGTGGTGAACACAGTCGAGGTGGTGGATTGGGGGCCTGAACCCTGCCCATTGGCTGGCGCAGTGGGCTCAGCGCCGGCAGTGACGGGACAGATCGTAGTCCCGACCACCACTGTCTCTGTGGTCAAGTAGGTGGTGCGTTGACGAGCGGGGCAGTTGGTCACGGTCTCCGGACAGGCTGTTACAGTTGTGGTGCGGGTGCTGAGGATGGTCGAGGTGGTCACTTCGCCTGCGTCGGACGATGATCTGGGTCCCTGAGAGATTGAAATGGGCAGTGAAGTGGGGCTCAGGGAGACAGGTTGACTGACGCTCGATTGAGTGACAAGGGAAGGGTGCGTGGATACTGCATTCGAGGAATGGACTGGGCTGGAAAGAGGCTGGATGGAAGAAGGAATGGCGCTGGACTGGGGCGGAGGGATGGTTGCACGGGAGGATGGGACCGGCTGGGATGGTGCAGATCCGGATGGCACAGACACTCGGGTGTTGGAGCGAGTCGCAGACGACGGTTGGATGAGGGGTCTGGAAGAGGTCGATACTGCAGCAGTTGACACTGCGGGAGTCACGGCCGACGATGCAGCGGCCGACGATGCAGCGGCCGACGACACCCCAGGCGTCACGACGAAAGACCCGGCCGGCGAGGACCCGGCAGGAGACACCGAGCGAGTTGAAACCGCGACAGATGATACCACGGGAGTTGAGGCGGACGATACTACAGCAGATGATGCCGAGGGAGTGGATATCGCAGCAGTCGACACCGCAGGAGGAGATACCGCGGCAGACGATACCGCAGGCGACACCACAGGCGACACAACAACCGGCGTGGGCGTCACGATCTCGACCGACGAGCTCAGCAACGTCGGGGTAGGAGTCAGAGTGGGCGTAACCAGACTGCTAGTGCAGGTCTCGGTCTGATAGGCAATGGAGATCCCGTCCAGATAGAGAGTCGGTTCCCCACTCGAACACATCACGTAGAAGTAGGGCCAGGTGACGGAGCTGCCCGCCCCCTGGTACTTGGTCACGTCCATGGACACATACTTCCACTCGGTCACGTCTTGGGTCACGTAGCCCGAGATCAACGGGTACTGCTCGTTGTCATCGAAGGAGGCGACAAATTGGCACGACGAGGCTCCGTTAAGGTAGAGCTGGTAGTAGAACGAAGTCGTCCACGTGTTGGTGGGAGGGAAGCCATTCCGGTTGCTGGACACGGACAACACGGTTTGCTGGCTGCCACTGTACATAAGGCCTGCCGTGATCTCTCTGAGATTTGCGATTAGCTGGAGCCGTTCGGTGGAGAGTCAGAAGACACGGTCAAGCTCACAGAAAGTATTCTCCCTCAGGTGCAGCGTCGGACTTCACCACCAACACCGAGGATCCGGCCGTATCCCAATCGTCGGTGTTGCCCGTTTCAAAGCCGCCGTTGAGCGCATAATTGGCGGTCGTCTCGCTGCAGACGGTGACATATTCCGCGAGAGCGGGGACCACCGCCAGCAGGAAAGGAACGAGGGACTGCTTCATGTTGAAGTTTTAAAATACGGCAAGAGTAAAAGAAATCAAAGAGTGACGCAGATCATTGCCGATCGAAGAAAGAATGAACGAAGCGCAATCGGCCTCAATGTCGACGATGGAGGGAAAGACCAAGCAAGGGTACAGGAGAGACTCTTAAAGCACTGTACAAATAGGCCCTCTCCTGAAGATAGACTCAGTTTCTAGAGCCGACCACGGCGAGTAGCCCACTTGTTCCAGTTCCATTGGTAGCGAAGGATCTGTAAATTCAATAGTAGATCGTAAAGCAGGCGTATAGGGCTAGTGTAGCCGACATGCGAGATGGCGTGCACCAGACAGGCCAACGGAACCGACGGCCGACGGCTTGGCTGATCAAAACCCCTGATCGTATGGTGAATATCGGAGTCGCCGAAACCAAGATTAAGAATAGATGCAGTGCTTGCTTCAGCCATCTTGAAGAGTGAAGTTAAGATGGTGCGAAGATCAGTGGTCAGGTGACTGCCTCGCTACTCAAGCCCATTCACTAGCCACACTGGGCAGGATGCAAGGCCCCAGAACGAGTGCGATCATGTTTCAACCAAGCTGGGGAGAACCATTCATATTACTGGGAACCTGATTGTCGGGAATTGAGGGTTATGCTAGTCATGGGGTCCAACCTTAAAAAAGCTCCCACGCAAGCAGATCAACAGATCGTCTCGGCGCTAGTACAGTACAAGGGTTGACAATGTAGGAACATGAGCCCCTGTGCATGGATTCGTTTCTAGAAGATAGCAAGACTTGACGTGACTCGAATATGTCAACATCAATGAACTCCTATGCTTCTCAATAGGGGGACGATATTCTTGCCAAGATAATTCACTACTGCTACCATTGACCGGTTCTGCTAATGGATAACTGACTTGTGTGTATGTGCAGGGAGAACTGGGAAGTTACTAACATTCTTCCTGCACCCCCACAAACTACCCAGGGAGATAAATGGCACATCTTTTCGGCGGGAAGATGAAGACCACACACAGCCCACAACCAAAAAATTACAAAAAGATGGAGCTGCGGGGAATCGAACCCCGGACCTCTCCCATGCTAAGGGAATATTATACCACTAAACCACAGCCCCAATTGATATCTTGCAAGTGGATAAAGTGCTTTATGTGGTAGTTACTAACTTGCAATTGTTGCTATGTGACTCGACTGAGCAACGGCCACATGTCATGGTCACTCCATGGGTTGACGGGTATCAGCGGTAGACAAGCCGGCGAACTGACTAGGCAGAATACTCCAATTGGATAAGCAACTCGGGTGACGGGGTCCATCTCTACTCCGCATCTCGAGCCAACTCATTGCATTAGAGACCTTTTTCTAGGAGTATAAATGCGCCTACAACGCCATCATCCGAAACCCGCAGACTCCAGTGGGCGGGGACTCTCCTGTACCTCCAGAATCTGCCGCCGACTCTCGCTCTCGATACTCTTCGCATCCCCGCCCCGTGGTCGATGCATCCAGCGCGGACGGCCACCGAAGCGATATTCCACCGGCTCACTCAATTCCCACTCCTGGGTCGGATACGTACTCCTCTTGCTGCTGTTGAGGCCGGGAATGAACCGGACGAGAACGCGCAGCGAAGGCAGAGATCCGCTGATCAGGCCTAGTGCGTACTCTAGGTTCATCAGGATGAGGGGGACGGCGCCGACGTCTAGTGCAGCGGTGTTAGGCTATCATATGCAGCTGGACCTGAGGAACCGGGTAGACCTTACAAGTATAGTCCGTGGAGTTCTCCTGGAATCCCAGAAGCGGGATCCCGTCGGAGAAGCAGAATGCGTACCAGGGCAAGAAGAACCAAGTAGTCATCCAGTCCAAAGGCACGTATAACAAATCTGCGAATGTAGAGCTGTGATGTAGTCAGTAAAGTCAACCAGAGTCCTAAATCTCAGGTACTATGTAAGCAGCGCAGAGCGACATACCCTCAGGCAGCAGACCGCCAGAGCGAGAACAGCGCACGCCCCAATCACGCCCCTCACGGTGTGCACCATCAGTGGTGTATGATCCGGTAACTGCGACGTAGCAACATTTGCGTCTGCCATAGTCTCCTCATGATCGATGTCTTGTGGATTGTTCAGCGTTGCTGCGCGATCTTAGTTATAGAATTCAGGGGGAGGGAAACCAGCCCAGTGTCGACCGGACTCCGACGAAACCCCCTTCAACGCCGTTCAGTCAAGCGATATTGAGCCATTACTACACTCATCAAAGCACAAATGAGACATTTGCAAGGGTTTGCATAAGTAACCGCACCGTCCCTAGTACTAGCAGGCATGTAAACCTGCCAGTCTGACGCTAAGCCAATTGGTTGCTTTTAGGGCTGATGCCTTGACACCAAATGCCCACTACGACCCACTCAGACCCGGGGTGGCCCAAACAAGCGCGCTGTTAGCACCGGGGTCAAGATGTCATATGTCAATCCGTTATTGAACTCGGTCGGTTGTAGATCCAATTAGCAAGACGTGACATGTGCTATATAGCCCTTGATTCGTCTTTGATAGTGAGCCCGTTGTCTCCGGCTGTGTCAAACAAAGAAACGTCCTTGTTCAACAACGAAATCCCCTCAAATGTATTAAGACTAGCCTGGATAGGCTCTCCTGAGAAATGGAGTAAAACCGACAGCCCACGAGCTGTCAGGGGCTGGCCGCAAGATACAATATACCCATGCCCATATCGAACGCTTTCTGGGAATTCACACTCGCAACTGCTGCTCTCCAGGCTGCATCCCAAAGTTTTCATCATGCCCGGGGTGTCTAATGCTGATCTTCTGGCCCTGAGCCCTCTCGATCACATCCCTGCCAAGCTCTTTCTGCCGTTCATCTTGTACTTCGATACACCCGACCCACAGACTGCGCTATTGACCCTCAAGGGCGGCATCCACAAGCTCGTTTCGCAACTGCCTTGGCTGGCGGGCGATGTGGTCTTTCACCCAGCACCCGATGGGCCGAAGGGTCGAATGCACATGGCGCCGCCGCAGGCCTCTCTCTCCCTCAAGTCTCCATGCTCCAGGTGAAGCACTTCGCCCACGACAAGGAATCACGATCGTACCCCGTGCAAGCGTACCTGGCCCTCCCCACGTTCATCCCCGCCTCGGAGCAGCGACCCGTGCTCCGCTGCCAGGCCAATGTGTTTCCCAGCAAGCTCGTGCTGGCCATGTCGTTCTGGCACAACGTCTTCGACGGCACGGGGGCCGGCGTGATCCTCGAGGCCCTAGCCGAGTGCTGCCGGGCCCGCGCGGAGCAGACAGACACCCCTCTCGCCCAGACCATCGCGACGACGCACATCCCTCTCCGCAACCACGTCTCCAGCTTCCCAGCGCAGTGCAAGACCCGTCTCGACCACACCGTCGAACTGGGCCCGCCCGTCTTCGACCCCAGCACCTCCACAGAGCAGTGGGAACGCGATGGAGTCCGCGCTGGCCTTCGTGGTCGAAACCAACCGGTACACCTTCGACCCACACAAGGTCGCGCAGCTGAAAGACCTCTGCACACAGCAGCTTCTGGCGCGGGCCCCTACATATGCAAGCTGGATCTCCAGCAACGACGTCATCACCGCGACGCTGGCCCTCTGCGTCGACCGCGTGCTTCCTCCCGAGCGAACGGCCAACAGCCCCGCCAGCGAATCAGCAGACTTCCTCATGGCCGTCAACCTGCGCAACCGCGTGCACCCCCGCACCCCCGCACCCCCGCATTCCCGAGACATACGTGGGGAACATAATCTTCCCCATCCACGACACAATCGAGCCACCAAAACCACTCCCCTCAGCCGAGGGTCACCCCACGACAGACGAGGAAAAGGATCTCCACCACCTCGCGCAGCTAGCTCTAAGAGTGCGCACCCGGCTGTCCGCGATGGACGAGACGGTGGCGTACAGCGCCTCAGCCGTCGTGGCCGACCACGCCGACTGGACGACGGTCGAGGGCCAACCCGCGGGGATTATTGTGACGAGCGGGCGGGATCTGCGCGCGTATTCCCTGGACTTCGGGGCGGGAATGGGGTCGATTGCGGGTTTCGAGCCGGGGTTGGCTCTGGTGCCTGGGGGGTGTATCTTTTTCCCGGCGCGGACGGCGAGCATGGTCGATGGCGGCCGTGCGACTGCGCCGTGGGAGGTGTGCGTTACCTTGAGAACGGGGGATTCGGAGATATTGCTGCAGGATCCGTTGTTCAGGAGGATTCTTGCATGAGGGGGGCAGAAGTTGGATACTTGCGCTAGGATGCAGTGGCTAGTTCCTTCAGTATTAGGTTACTCCAAAACTTGATACTGAATGGGTTCTTTGTATCTTCGAAGCGGAAATGCAAAATCAGCTTGAAGAAAAGCAAATACATGAGTTCTCGTTAATTCGAAATCTGGAATGATACTTTGATACACAAGAAATGAGTAGACAGTCGCTTTACACTAAAGAATATCCAACCCCATACGAACGGCAAGTCGGAATGTAGGCTGTAGTCTGCATCCCAAGTAAGCCAACAGAAGCAGCCTAATCTCTCCATGCCCCCCTAGGAAAAAAAAAAACAAGGCTTACTCCCCCCTCCCCCTCAAACCCTTCCGCATAAACGCCGCATAAAACACGACCTCATCCCCAGCGACCCCGACCTCCCTCCACCGCGGCTCCTCCTTCCACAACACATACCCGCGCCGCGCATACCACCACTGATTACACCCCATCACCGGCGGCTCAGCGCCCGTCCGCGCCCACACGCCCGTCCCCTCGGGCGACTCATCCAGATAATGGCGCTCGCTCAGCGTCGTCAGCGCCAGCCACCGGCAGTTCGTTTCGGTGGTCGCCGCCAGCGCCTCCACGAGGTCCATGGCGCGGCTGCCCAGCCCCAGGCCCCGGTACGCCGGGAGGATGAAGAGGGTCTGGACGGTGAGGACGGTGCGGTCGGCGCGGGCGAGTTCCTCGTCGGCTGGGTCGCTATATGCGTCGAGCGAGATGTGGCCAGCGTAGACTGTTTTCTCCTCGGTCGACGGGGCTGGTGGTTGGGTAGTAGTAGAAATACTGGTAGTAGCAGCAGCAGCAGCAGCAGCAGCAGGATCCGGGATGCAGAGCCAGTAGAACCCCTTCACGCCTTCGTCCTGCTTGCGCTTCCAGCTTTCCAGCGTCGGGAGGTCGGAGTCCCAGCCGCAGATGCGGCGTTGGCGGTGGATCTCGGCGAAGTCGGTGGGCGAGTGTAGGTTGATGGGGGTGAGGTGGCAGGGGGGCGTTGTGGATTTCATTTTGCCGGGTTGTTTTATTTTCTTTAGGGTTTGGGGGTGATGTGAGGTGCTCTTTGGGGGGGTGTTGTGGAGAGGGATTGATTTGTGTGGATTAAGCAGGGCAGAGTGCGGAGGAGTCATTGATAAGGGAAAGAGGCTCTGGCACTAGTGCTTACGTGCTTAACGGGTTAATTAGAGATTCAGATGAGGCGAGATTTTGACAGGTGAGACACGCTAATATTAATTAGGCTACGGGGAGAATGTGTAGACGAATTAGCTCCCTCTTCATCGCGCGATGCCGATGGTTTTTATGCGCTAAGAAACAAACATGCAAGAACATTACCGCTGTTATGCAGGCTGCATCCTTTGGAAGGACTTTTCACCACCTCGCTGTTCCAAGAACATGCACAGCTATGAACCAGTATTATGAGTTACGTGCTGGCCTTGTCCTCATCAGATGACCTTTCTTCTCTGCTTCCTAAAAATGGTCGAGTCACGACAACCATTTGTCGACTGCCACCTGCATCAGTCTCGCCGTGTACTCCACCTGCGCATGTCATTAGAGATCACCTGCCACATGCGACAAAAGAAGATTATAGAAGTAACTCACCACCTCCGGATCCATCAGCGTATCATGATGCGCATGCTCGATAACACGACACTCGACATTCTCCTCCCCGACCATCTCCGCCCAACCCCCCGGGCCCATCGACTCCCGCGGCGTCTGCAGCCACTCCTGGCTGGTGCGCGCCTGCGTGTCCGGACCACACCTCCGCAGGACCTCGTCCGCCTCCACCAGCACGGCGGGCAGACGATCGGGGTCGCCGTGGCCCGCCCAGATCACGAAGATCCGGACGGGAGTGGGGTCGTCGCTGGCCGTGTGCATCGGGCGCGGCGAGTACTTCAGCTTCGCCCGGACCGAGGCCAAGCTGTGCTGGCGCCGGTATGACGGAATCTCCATGTCGGGCTTGCCGGCGCGCCGGATCGCCGGGTAGAAGCCGACGATCTCCAGGAGCTTGACCGTGGGCTCCAGGACGTGCGGGTCCGGTCGCGGCAGCGGCATGTCCAGGTTGATGATCCCCACGACTTGCTGGCCCTGCTGCCGCAGCTGATAGGCCTCCTCGTAGGCGAGGATTGCGCCCATCGACCAGCCACCTAGTAGATAGGGGCCCTCGGGCTGCAGTTGGCGGATCGTCTGGACGTACAGCGCGGCGGCTTCTTCGACCGTCCAGGTGGCGGCGGACTTGGTCATGAGGAAGGGCGAGCCCAGTGCGTAGATGGCGAGGTCGTTGGCGAACTTGGGGAGCGGCTCGTATGAGAAGGCGTAGCCGGAGCCGGGCGGGGTCATGAACAGGGCGGGGACGCCGGGCTTGGGGGTGCCTTGGATGAGGGTGGAGAAGCATTCCCGGGGGGTCTCTTGGGTGGTGGAGTCAATGTCGAGAAGGTTAGCTGGGTCGGTGGAGGATTGTAGACGCTCGATGAGCTCGCCGATGGTGTGGGGGGTGAAGAAGAGGGATGATGGGAGGGAAACGCCCGTTTCCTGGCGGATCTGGTTGAGCTGCGCGATCGAGGTGATGGAATCGATTCCTAGGTCGATCATTCGCATCGTCGGGTCGATATTCTCGCCCTTCGCGGAGGCAATGGCCGTTAATAGGGAGTCTATGAGCTGTGCGTTTGGATGCGACGCGAGTGCTTCCTGGCCACTGGCTTCAATCGCTTCCATCTCCTCTGCGACCGTGTCAGCCGCCAGCCAGTCGGATAATGTGACGTTGCTGGCCATGTCCTTCCAGATCTGGGTCTTGATCGATTCAAGCAAGCGAACGTCCGCATATCCTGCTAAGTTGACATTCACATCCATCATCGTCGCATCGTTGAGCCCCGATGCTTGAGCCCAGGCTTGTTTCAGCCTGGATTCAAGCATCGCGCGACTGCATAATCTGCTGCGTGCCTGAGACTTCTGAGCTGTCCAGTACGCCTCGACCAGCTCCGTCAGTTTCGACTTCTGGACCTTACCGGCAAGGGTCCGAGGATAATCATCCAGCCCTAAGGCCGACACCGGAACCACACCCGCCGGGACAAAGAGCGCCCCCATCTTGGTCCGGATGGTATCTTTGAGCTGGCGTGCCATCTGCTCGTCGACATCCGTCCGCACCACCGCAACCGGCACCTCACCAGCGACCTGATCCGGGGCTCGGACGATCTGTGGCTCAAGCACATGGAACTCCGCCGTCTGGCCCAGCACCGCCTCAATGGCCGAGGGCTCGATATTCTCACCCCCTCGAATGATCGTGTCGTTATACCTTCCCACCAGATACAGCCGGCCATCCTCCCCGACGACCGCTTTATCCCCCGTGCAGAACCATCTCTGCTCGTCCTCGTCGGTGTAGAACTTCTCATCGTCCCTGTTCCCAATATACCCGTCTATCAAGCTGGGTCCGGAGAAATGCACCTCCCCAACGACTCTCACCGCGACAGGGACACGACTGCCTTTTGCGCAGATTCGCACGCTCGCGCCGGACAACGGCCGGCCGATCGCGACATCCCGCCCACAGACGGCCTCGTCGAGCCTCTCCACCGGCCCGGTCGAAACCACGATCCCCTCAGTCATCCCGTAGAAGTTCTCGACCGCCTGCGCCCCGAGATGCTCGAGGCAGATGCGGAGCACCTCCTCCGTTGGCGGGGCGCCCGCCAGCACGACTCGTCGGAGGGAATCGAGCTTCTGCGCCGGCGCAACCGTCACTCCCTTCAGCGCGTGCACCATTGTGGGCACCAGCGCGAGGTGCGCACAGCGTTCCTGCCGGATCGCCTCGATCAGTCGCTCGGGGACGAACGCCTCGCCGGGAAAGACGACGGTAGCGGCATTGAGGAAGGCCGCCATGAGAACCTGATAGCCGAAGGCGTGGTTGTTAGGCAGCACGACGGCGATGCGATCGCCGGGCCGCGTCGGGTGGCGGGGGTCTGCTCGCGAGGCACGGGCGGCGGTCGTGCAGAAGGCGGACCCCTGCACGAAGCAGCCTTTGGGCAGGGAGGTGGTGCCGCTCGTGAAGAAGATGGATGATTCCTGCTGCTGCGACTGTGGCTGCAGCTGCTCCAGGGAATCATCCGAGAGACGACTATCATCGTCCGAGAGTTGGGTAACATCAGACCGGCGGTCCTCTTCCTCCTCCTCCTGTTCCTGTTCCTCTAGCGCTAGCTGCACATCCTTTCCACCCTTTATGAGACGCATAAGCTCCTCAAAACCAGCCCACCCATCCCGAACCCCTCCCTCTCCCCGCGTTATCGCAATCAACCAGCACTGCACCTGCAGCTGCAACCCCCGAACCAACCCGGCAACCCGCCCCAACACGTCCTCTCGCACCGATCCAGCAGCAGCAACAACCACCACCGCATCCGGCCGACAAGTCCCCACCGCCGTCCCAAGCATATGCACCGCCTCCCTCGCATGCCCGAGACACCTCGGACTCAACGGCACATGGACACACCCAATCCGATACGCCGCCCACGTGGCCACCACATACTCCGCGGTATTCGTCGCAAACAGCACCATCAGCGATCCGCGCCCAATTCCCCTTCGTCGGAGATTCGCCGCGAACCGCTCGATCTTCTCGTCCAGTTGCGCATAGGTCCAGCGCAGAGTCCCCGCGCTGGGCTTTCCAGTCCTTATCGAAGACGCTTCATCGGGGGCGGTATAGAGATTCGCGGGCTGGTGGGGACATACCAGCGCGAGCGTGTCTGGGTGGTCGCGCACGTTCTGCTGGAATTGGTGGTGTAGGGTGGGGAAGGGGGTGGTGAAGAGCGGAGGGGGGCCGGTTAGGGTGCTGGGTTGGATCATTTCGTCCTCTTACTTGGTGGGATTTATCGGTGAGGGAGTTGGGGGGTGAGTCGCGATTGGAATAGAGACTGAGGGGGTATGGAGGGTTCAATGACGGATGGAATTGAAGAGAATAGGAGGTAGGTAAGCTGGTGGTGTTCGTGCTTGCCTGGCTTTACCGGGACTTTCCTCCCTGAACCACGTGCAAATACATACGAAGTAGTGATGTGGGGAGGGAGGAGGAGGGCAAAGGGGGCCTTGGAGTCTAAATGCGATTCCGCGATGCAGGATGCCCAAGCAGCTGGACGAGCTGGACTCATTCATGGAGCACAACACAGCACATACCGGACCACCAGGATATGCAGGGCCATCAAGGTGAAACGATCTGCGGGCATTGTGGGCGAGTTACCCAGTACGTAGTACTCGTACGAGTGAGAATGAGGGAATACTAACCTAGGCTAACTTCTCTGAGTAAATAGTAAGTGAATGAGTGGGGGATAGGATAGTGGGTCTCGGATTTCCCTGTAATACCTGTGAGCAAAAGACTTGCTTCATCGCATCGAGTCAGGGATTCATCACCTCCCGTCCATACTCAATTCTCGATCCACAATTCTCAAGAGGATAGTACATCCATGCAAGCTTTCAGCTACGCATCCTCAAAGAACACATGTTCAGTGTAGTACAGCGCAAAAGCCAGCCCCCTTAGACCCCGTAACCCCAATGACGTTCTTCCGAAAAAAAAGTAAAGAGAACGCAACCTCAAATCCCCACCCAAGTCAAAACCATACCATACGTACGGACTGTACGGACGGAGAGCTCCCTGCCAAGTACCGTGCAAACCCCAAGATCGACCGCCAAACAACCAGATCCGTCCGATTCTCCCGAGAGCTGAAAAGTGGATCCCCGAAGATGCCTTCTCTTCTGCAGTGCCGCCGCCGTCGCCGCGCCTTTGCGATACATACGGGTATTTTACACTACGCACGCCACAGGCCACGCCCCAGGCCACGCCCCCTCCTTCACTGGACAGTGGACACTGAACACTCAAGAGTGATCGACTGTCATGCAGAGCAGATGCATCACCTCCTCAGCTTCAAGGTCATAAGCGGGGGAGCTGCATCGTGCCGTGGCCCAGAATCACCCAGATGATGCATGGCTAGAGTCACGAAAGTGTAATCCGGTGCGGTCAGAATTAGTCAATGTGAAGGCAAGCTGAGTCCGCGCCACGAACTCTTTCTGTAAAGCTGAAGATTTTGACGCTAGACTTGCAGCATTCGCGCTGATCGTGTCAGTCAGTATGTGTCAGTGCGCTGCAGCTTG